AAACAGAACCAGGAGGCAACCTTGGAGGTAATCAAAGATAACCTTCGAGAAAAGGTATGATACTTCTAGATGCCGGTAATGCGAGTGGTATTCTAAATGCTAACCCTAATAGATACGAGACAAAAAAGGGTAACGATTGAGATTATACCGGAGGAGGGTTTTAGCGAGGACGATGAAGCTCTGGCTGCGGATCTTGCCGCATTCCGAGATGCTCGGAGAACACCCACGAGTGCTCCAGGAGGTCGGGTTGATTCCGACAGCGCCCAGGACGAAGTGATTAATGCCCGACTTCGCGGCATTGACACCGAAGAGGAGGGGGAGGAGGAAGAAGAAGAGCCGGAATTACCTGTAGCGGGGGATTACGAAGGGGGGGGGAGGAGGATGTGTAGAACAATCACGAGTGCTAAGGGAGATAGTGGGGGATTTCTTCTGATTCGTATATTGTATTAGGGTTAGTTAGGGTGTTAAATGGCGTATTGTATTTAGTATTAGGCGGAGGATCACGGTGTTGAATACACCAATTCTCAAAGTGCAGTCGCGAGTGCTCTGGAGACAGTAGAGATCGTCGTGCGAGTGATGTTTTTGTAATCTCATGGGGGAATTGTGAATACCAGAGGCCGGAACGGCGGAGAGGTGTATGCCTAGAGAGAACGGGGCGCCGACATGTAGGAATCGGTACGTCGGGCATGAGCCAGATTTCAAAGCACCCCATCCGGCAACGTCAGGGGGAGTCAGGGCAATCATTCTATCCCCAGAGCCCGCTGGAGCAGTGAAGAGTGCTCCAGGAGCAGTCAGGATATCCAACCGTGCAACTGGCGTTCTCTAGCGGGTAGAGTGACGTCCTAGTTACACCGGGCGCTATTATTTAGTGTCGGGGCCCGTTGTGCGGACTAGTGTGCGCTGGGGCGGAATAATGTGCGCCAGACCTCGCCAGGAGCACTGGCGGTATCTCTGGAGAGGTAGTTTACCTACCGAGCGCCCTGAGCGCCCTGAGCGCCCCGGGCGTCTGGCGAAGGCTACAGGTTTGCTGATGTATGACCTATCCTCAGACTCCGAACTCACCTCCCTCTCATCAAGCTCGGCCTAGGCCACCTCCACCCACAACAGGCCCAAAAAGCCAACTATACGCACAACAACCCCAACACCCAAAGTGTCCTCTCGTCGCTCTCCTTATTCTCTCTTCTTCTATGTCCTGTCATATCACGCGTAGCTGGTACGAAAGTATACTGCCCCTAAGGGGGACGTCCGAATTTCTTTGTTTGCTGGCCGGTAGGAGGAATGTCAGGGTCTCTCCATTGTGTCTGCTTCATGTATACACGTTCATGTTTGCTTTGTTGTCTTGTTTTCTTCGGCGGTTTGGTAAGGGAGGGGTGTTGTTCACGCCATAGCCTAGGCTCCATGCGATATTCTTGTACCCAGAAATAAATGAAACTATGATTTAAAAAAAAAAAAAAAAAACGCCCCTATATAGATACAGGGCTTATTGTTAATATATTCTATTCTCGACAGGCTCAGTAATAAATATGAGAGTCCCCTCTATTTTGCTTTGAAGAATGACTGGATTTTTGAGCATGGCTTTCGGTGAGGTATGTTATACGCTGATTTAGATGTCTTATAATGGAAGCCCTCCCGTGGATATTCTGAAGGTGTTCAAACTTGAAGCCTTGAAGATAAATTACAGATATTGCATAGAAACGGCTCACAACAACTCTGTAGACACCCCCTGGGAGGATCTACAGACCACATTTGAACGCCTACAAATCTTCAAAAATATCCACGGGAAGGCTTCCAATTATATTACACAATTATAGACAGTGCACCCCAGAATGTCTTGAATCCAGCGTGATACCCTTCGTATATTACTCCGTCCTTACCTGCATACTAATCGCGGACGAACAAGGCCGCTAGGACCCAGGAAAGCACCCGCTCCACGTTTCATAAGGCTTAAGGGTGATCAACGGCCTACACATTTCTCTGGTTTTCCATGTCGAAACTTTTCACCACCATGTCTTGGAGAATTCGTATTCATGCATTGGCTCATCCCACAGAGCTTCTTCCTGGCGAGGGTTGTTGAGAATAGGGGCAGAATAAAGATCTTCAACATTGACTAGTGGATATTTCCCCTTATAATTGTTGTTGTGTTGATGCGGGTTGTATGTTTATCAGCGGTCTTGTTGTTATTGGAGTTCTTTAACGCCAGGACTGGTAGCTGAAAGCTGTGGTGTGGTAATACGTGCGGCCTGTTATCTAGATCTGCCAGAATGAGTAATGTGGGGTACGTCATGATTCCTTTGCCAGTACAGCTTGTCTGCGCCCAAAACACAGGCGCGTCATTATTATTAAATATCTGAGGGCCACGATGAGACTGGGCTGCCAAGATGTAAAAGCCTAGACCTAGATACCAACAGGGCTGAGTTGAAACTTTTGTATTTGAGATTGAACGCAATTTTTTTTTCTTTTTTATTTTTTTCTCTTCTGGTTATGTTTGATGACAGTTTATTACCAGAGCCGGTTTCGGGTATTAATGTGCATACGCGAAAGTATCGTCTAGCAATGTTTTATATCAGTCTAGTGCATGAAATCGTGATTAAACCCCACCTATTCGTGAGCTGAAATGTTAGGCGTTCTGCCTTTAGTTTCGAAAACGGAAAACCTCGCCTATCGGATAGAACATGTGCGTGATTCTCCAGGCGTGATCCTGCATATATTCTGTTTGAGACCCAGGGGTAGCTGCATGCGCTTATTGAAACAGTTCCATCAACAAATCTGTGCGGCACCCAAGCGCCGAGGTGCTGAGCGAGCACATCATGCACTATCACTCGCGGTTGCTCTGAAAATATTGTTAACAAATATAACTATTTGTTATTTGTTGACCCATTAATTGTATGCAGCCCTCTAAGGCTATGACAAAAATAACTGTTTCGTGACAAGACGTTATATTTACAGGCTGAAAATAGGAATCTGTATGTAATACGGTAAAGCTTGAGAAGAAAAGAAACATGAAGAGTAGTGGTGTTTTATGAAAGAACATTGGAAGGAATATTAGTTAAGGGATGTATCCTTGGACTTTTACCATAGAAAAAAAATAACTTGGTACCAGATGAGTCCTCTGCCACTATGACTGCCCGATATCACGTCTAAAAAATGTATGGATGTCCTGGAGAGCTTTGATGCCAAAGAGTATTGATATATATGGGGTGCGGAGTTCGACTAGTAACGTAACCCATCAGCTCAAGCAAGACTCATATCTAAAAGCCAATTGATACATACCTAAAAGCCCTAATTCGCGCTCACCAGCGTATACCGTGACCTCACCGTAGTCCCCAACACCAAACCAAACACCTCCTGCTCCACTGAATCCGCTCCCCCACTCCTACGTGCAGCATTCAACTCCATCTGCTTGCATAACCACTCGATGTCCCTGTTCGTCTTATCCATATCCCGTCTGACAACGACAATGTGCTTCTCGACATTCTGTATATCCCTTCTGTAGAGGATCCTCGTGAATGCCTTCTTGCTCAGACGTAGCTTCTCGTCCTCAAATGCGTCGACGAGTAGGTCGAAGCGTAGGCGGATGTGGGTGAGTGAATTGCGTGATTTTGTCTGGTCTGAGTCCACGGCACGGAGCTCTGTGAGGAGTGTGCTGAGGCCACGGTGCGTTGACGAGAGCACGCGGTTAGCGGGGAAGAGTCGTATAGGCATCTTCGTTTGGGGCGAGGTAGGATGTAGGGTAGCTGTAGAGAGGGAACGCTGGAGATTTTGTGTCTTGGAGGAGGGGGAGGGGAGGTTGGACGTTGAAGTTGGAGACATTACGGTAGAGATCAAGGTACAGCCTGATTCAACTGTCATGGTGATCTTCTGAACTGGAAGGGGTGAACTGGCAATGCAATGGATGGAGAGGAGAGACGTGGAGACGTGAACGGCGGCCCAATGACGTCCGCTCCACCATTGCCGTAATCAGTAATCAGTGTGAGGGATGAAACCGTTAGCCCCGGGTGAAGCCGCCCGGGCCCGGGGAATCAGAAACGGGCGCGGATGCGCTAGAACATCACGCTAGATAACGACGTGTCATTTCCCATGTACCCTATTATTCATCATCGTCATGGATGATCACTCGGCCGATATCTGAACATGAATTGAGTTTGGTATTCGGTTCTTTCTTACTGAAAGACAATTCCCCTCCTTGTGGAAGTATGGTAGATTATTTGGCTACTGATATCAATAGTGGCCTGTGGTGTAAATATGGGGCTAAAGGTGCGTACATACATGTAACTCTCGCGCTCTTGCGCTACTGGGACGAGAGGTACTGAAATAGAGTTTGGGCTGAATGGCTCGTGCTTTCCTTGGCATCTGCTGCACTTCCCACAAGGGAAATGCACATGTGCGGCACACGGGGAGCTGAAAATGTGGACTTTGCTGGTACTGTTATTTTTAGTGTCGTTGTACTGTGTATCATGGCTGACTCTGGATTTGGCAGTCGCGTCATTGGTACACAGGTCTATGCCGCATCCTCTCTTCGTTACCATGATGCATATTCGATATATTTTGTAGGTTTGCACCTAGCCCCTTCTGCTCCACGCGTACGCTCATGCCATGGAGGATCGATGAGCACGATATGTATGTAAATCTATGTAATTAACTTAAGACACCACCTAAAGTCCACATTAAAGCCAGTGCCAGTACCACACAGAACCCAACAGCGAATACATGGCAGAAGTTTTACTTATCTAGTTTTCTGGTAATAATTCAACTTTCATATGTAGAATATAACACTCTAACATGCCGTTTAATTCAGAGGAGCATATCTATATTCTATACCGAGCTCTCCGCAGCGTATGAGCACGCCGGACTTTAGAGCTTTATAGCACTGGCAGCGCAATGAATTCAGTTTATACATAGTTCATGCGTGGCCACATAATTAATGAATTAAGCAAAAAAAAAAAAAAAGCATCCGTGGCCACGCCACACAGTAGTAGCACTGACTTCCCCCATGCTCTCAAATCCGCTAATACAACATATTCGAGTAGCTGCCAAACTGCAAGCAAGGCACGAGCGATCGAAAAAGTATATAAGCTAGCATTCGGCTCGCATTATCCTCCTCCTCTCCTTACCATTCATCCCAACAATCTACCTCTCAAACAGTATCATCTCACCCAGAATACTCTGGTACTTAGCACCATCAGTCTTTATTTACAACCTGCACGACTCAGAAATCATCTTATCATCGATTTCCATCCAATTTCTCTCATTAGTCTACATTTACCTTCTCCCTTTACTTCCATTCATTACATCAACTGCCCTCATTACCTTATATCCGCCAATTTCCCTATACGTACACAGTACTGCATCATTCACTCACTCACTCACTCAACATCTACACGAACTACCCCCTCGCGTCACACAATGGATCGTTATCTTCCTAATAGAAAAACCCTAGATATGATGGTTCTCGAGCTAGAAATAGTAGCTGGAGCTCTCAGGAGCTTCAAGACACTTGAAATCACCCAAATGGAAGATTTAAAGGAAGAACGTAACAACTTATTAATGGTCCGTACGCAGATCATGTCCACGGAGCTGAACTTCAAAAGAGAAAGTAAAAAAATGAATAGGTTTTGGTTTCTCAAGTTGATTTTCGGCGATGAGATCCACGAGATTTACCTAAGACTTCATTCGGCTCGTGCTGAAGCTGAACGTGTCGAAGGATACTTCGAATCTAAATTCAGGGAAATAAGGGGTAAAATACGAACCCCCAGTGAGATATTAATGATGGAAGATGATTAAATGATATATCTTTTTTTATGTCCAACTCAGATGCCTTAGAGGCCTCAGATAAAGAGAAAGCTAAACACTCGCGAGAGTAGTATTTTCGTTAAATATAAGCTCATGATACCGGCCGGTTAGTCTCCCCATCAACCCCACCACTCGCTCCTCGTTTATTTCAAAGAAGCTCACTCATCAATTGCGTATAGGAAACAATTCTGCCTACCCCCTTACTTTAAAAATTCGCTACTTTATACTATTCCGATTTTCCTTCCAAATCTTTCTTTTTATTTGTCCATAGTAGGTACCAATGATCTATCTGTCAAGATTACTTCCATCATAAACTATCACTCGCTAACAGTATCTTTCTACAAAAGGCTTTTCCTTTACGGTACTTGGGCATTAGCAAATGGCTTTAAATAACTACGTTAGTTGACGGATATAAAGAGCTTGAAAGTACATGTATCGTACATTCACCTTGCTTCGTTACGTTTGATGGTATCGAGAAGTTGTGGAACCTTGGTGGCTTGGCATTGTCAATGATCATCGATGAATGATTTCGGTTGGCAGCGGTATATGACGGGTCGGGATGCTATATTTTTTTAGTACTGGAGTTATTTGGATTTCTTCTTCTTTCATATATATATCCGTATGGATATAGGCCTTCTGAAAGGTATCGAAATGGATACTTGAGATGGATATATTATAGCTACAAATTGACACTCCGGCATTGCCGGAGTGGGGGGGGCTGGACTGGTGTGTTATCATGATTTATATGATAACATATAGCTTTTTAATACACACACGATCCTGAGTATTTGCCTTTACGAATCATTAATTCTATGACTCCCAATCACGATATTTTTCTTCCTTCGTAGCAACCGACCACCGTATACTCGCTTACCGCACGATGCGGCTCTCCAAATGAAAGTTACAACTGTGCCCCTGCTTCTTCACTCGCTGGTAACTGGCAGAAGCAACAAGCATCGTCACAACGACGTATGCCGTCGATTCACTCATAAAGCCTCCATCTCACGCGTAACAGAACAGAACATCAACCCATATCAGACCCGCCTACAAACATCACAGTCCGCACTGCATTGTGCATCGAGCATCGAGCGTAAAGACACCTCGGCCACCTCAACCTCAATAGGCATGAGCCTTCGGCGTTATTAAGATATGTACCAGCACCATTCTACTTATTTATCTTACTGATCTCAAGCTGCTAGGATTCCTATGGAGTAACGAATTTGATGGCTAAGAAAGGGCTTTAGAAACGACTAAGTCTTATGAAGTGATCGAGGGCCTTCGATACATGGACAATAGTACACAAACGTCCCCACGTTGAGCGGAGTCCGTTTCAGATTTGTGGGCTACGAAGCCTCCGGACTGTTACTTGGGCATTAAATGGATCAAGGCAGTGAAAACTTGTGGTGGTGGAGGTGAAGGCTGAGGCTACACTTTGGTAATCCCCCTCTAATTTTCTGCCCGGATAGAATTTTACATAGCTTCAAATTATTTTGGGATTAAAGTCACGGGAGAGCCCGACTAACACATCAACGTGGTGTAGGAGCCTATCGAGTATCCATCGTGGAATTCACCGTCTTTCTTAAACGGCGTTGAAACTTTGGTTCTATGTGGGATGATGTAAAGAATTGTTTCCCAAATTACTATATCTATTCGGGTCGTTCAAGGAGTGAGAAGGCCTCACCAAGTACGGCAATGGTGAACTGAGTGCCAATGTGCAAAAGAGATATTCACCGGAGGGTCACATTGGCAACATTGGAGCAAGTTTGTATGAGTCCCTCGTGATTTATATATTCGCCTTAGCTTATTTTAAGGAGACTAATTTTATTGTTAGAAGGTATTTAAAAAAAACATGAGGATTCGGTAGAATCATAAAACATCACTCGCACCTCGAATTCCAAGGAATATCCATCCACCTCACGCCAGAGACAAACGAAATGAGCACAAATAATCAATCCGGGTTACAAAGAAAATACTAGCCATGAAAAATTTGAGCACTGCGAACACAGGGTATTGGTATATAGTTAGCTAGGTACAGTTCTCACGATCTTGAGCAGCCGTTAGGGGGAATTCCCCCATTAATTGTGATCAGAACAGAACTATGTTATGGCTAGCAGCTCTCATTATAATTCGGACTGATAGTCCGAGGTACTTCAGGACATCTAATATCACTCGTGCCTCTATTGCTGTGTGGTTGGCACAATGAGCCTGTAAGACTTGACCCGGGCCCTTGAAAACACATATGCATGGTACGGTGATAGGTAGGTGGTCCGGCTAGATGCTAATAACGAGACTATTTATAGTAAAACCGCGTTTAAAACATCTATCAACCGAAATATATCTTTTGCGTTATGGGTGAAAAGTGTTGAATTGAACCTCCTGCGAGACTGCTTGAAGCGATCAGAGCAGTTTTCCTTAAGACGCCTCGGAATTCCCCCTGCTCGAGGTGATCGGCGTCCTCGAAGCGGATATAGCTGTTAATTATTATTGGACGGATGGGAAATGTTATCTTCACTCTAAAAGTCTATCACAGGTTACCATCCACAGATAGGGAGAAGATCTATCTTCGATAAGCAAGTATGATAATTACCCGGGCTTGTGCTCATAGTCGAGTGAGTAATCATAAGACATCCAGCGAAAATATATTAACAAATGCATTTACTAATGATGAACTGTTAGACTACTTACACGAGCAAGAGATTCCATGCTCGTTATGTCTCGAGCTGCCTCAGGGCGATGCCTTGAGGTAATACAGGATATACTCGTGGGTTGACTGTAACCATCCATGGCTGCCAGATTTTCAATATGCTGCGGATTTGAGTTCACAGGTATCAGGATCACATGTAATGTCTAGAAAACCCGTCGGTCCAATGGAGAGAAAGCTCAACCCAACCCACCCTCAAAAAAGACGGTGTTATGCACTCCACAGGGTATGTTCCAAGGGTCAATGATCCAAACCTCATCTTCCGGTGTTTCAACCCACAGTAAAAGCTTTTCGCTGTGCCTCATCACAAATCTTCCATGATAGAGCAAAATACCGCCTATCGCCTTTTGCATCCTAAGACATTCTCGGGGTACACAAGAAAAGATTGATCTGATTCATTCTTCGATTATGCACTTGCACTTCTATATGCAACCGACGGTTCAAAAGGAAAAATCGGAGCTGAAATTATCAGTTGCTTTTTCCCCACGTCAAGAATCAGCAAGAACCAGAGGAGCTGGAGCGTGGGGCTCGTTTCAAGTGGGTAATTGAAAAAATGGAAGGGCAGGTAGGTAAAGTACATCCCCCCTTATGTTGTGGGCAATCATTCCCAACGGAATGCAAATGAGGAAACCCCTATGTATCCCCGGATACCCTGAAAAGAACATTTCGTAAATGAATGGCACGGACTATTTGTTATATTTGTATTGTAGAGTTGGCCTCTCTAAGGTCCAGCTTGCATGGGATGAAATGGTTTCTTGTGAAAGATCATGTCTTCCTCACCTTACATCTCACCACTTCTCTCCTTGGATTTACGTTCTGTGCCGCAGTAGTCGACATGTCGCAATGACGCCGGTAGTGGCAGTGGCAGCAGGGCTTCGGTTATCGGCTGTTACAGCTCTGTAAAAGAGAAAGCGCCATGTGATTCTTGGGCTTTTCGGGGATCTCGGTGAAGTTTTTTCGCCTTGACCACTCGCAGGTCAGTTCTCCTGCTCTAGCGAGACAAATCCAGGGTTAGGTTTGCGTAAGCTGTGAGACTTCTTTCCCTCGCCAAGCGGAAGGGTTATCGATAACCACTCCATGACATGGGCGGGCCGGGCACATTTGTTGGGGATCGGCAAGGATTCGAGAGTTGGAACGGCCAGAGCAGGGGTCAAACCTTATCTGCAATCTTTTTCTGGGGTTAGCTATCGTTTAGAGCCGCACCGATAGCAAAGGATGAAAGAATTTGTGAAGAAACCTTTGTCATGGAGCTGATGAGGGAGTTGGAAAAAAAATGACAATGTCACTGGTGAGCATAAGCATCCAGAGAAGTTGCGATCTGGTCACTTGGATCCCATCGCCTTTTCATCGTCCTTCAAACGATGTAGGACTTGCTTAATCGCCCCTGCAATCAAGTCAGTTAAACTCGCAGAAGTGAACTGTGCATGTGCCGCACCTCAACAAATTCTGAAGAAGGCTAAAGCAAGCACTTGCTCAGTCTTGCTGCATCCCACCGAAACCAGGACCTCCCTAGTTAGATCAACGCTGCTTGGCTGGGGTCAGCAGAAAGTGCACAAAATCGGTTGGACGACAGTGGTCCCGACATGTTGTCCCTGCATAAAGATCTAGAAAAATATTTTGGGAGGCAACTTTTGTTCTCTTTTTTGATGTGTGCGGGCGTGCGGAAATCATTTTCCTTTTGATGATGAGAGCCTTCGGCAAAGCCCACCGCAAGTTGAAGTTGAAATGATGTGCGTTTCGGGCGATTTAGGAGAAAGAGCTCTATCACTGAATTTGGAAAGACGAACCAGCAGATGTTCAGGGAAAACCCTTTTTTCGTAAGCTGATTATTACCCTATGGGTGTGAAAACAAGGCGTGTAAACAGATTGGGTTGGAAACCCCTTACGTCCTTTTGAGTCCTGATGATAGGTATTGATCATTCCTAGGAGAAAGAGGAGCAAGAGGCCCAGGCGAGAAGGGATCCCGGTAGATTCTAGCAACTGAGAGTGTGCCTGGCTTCCCCTCATGCGCACTCTGTGCCAATCACAGTTACATCTCTACTCTGCGAGTAGAACACGGACCATAGGCCCAGCAAGAAAAAAAAACGCGTACTATGCTAGGGTGGGTTCTGGACAGCCAACTGTCAACATTTGCCTCTCTGTCTCCTTTTTTTTTTCCTTTTTTTTTCCTCCTCTTTTTTGGGACCTCTTTTAGTACCTCCCCTCCCCCGACAACTTCTCTTCTTCTTCCTTCCCGCTTTGTGCTGCTCATTCGACCCCACCGCTGAATTTTCTGTTATCCATCAAACTCTCCCACCAATCGATACAATTTCTCATTCACTATAAAAGCTTTAACAGATAAGAGGTAAAACATTATCTCCCACTCTTTGCTGTCAATTCATCAGTTACTACAACCGAAGAGAGTGATAAAGTTGAACAACGTCTGACAATCCTCATAGATAACAAGTCTCAACCATCCACCACAATGGCAACAACTCGTTCAAGGACCCGAAAGTCTTCCATCTCACAGACCTCAACTCCCATCACCTCCAACTCTACTGTCAATTCTAGCGCTGCGTCCCTAAACTCTTCGTCAACGTCTCTTTCATCAATGGCCGAGAAGCCAACGACGGGAAAGCCCATGCTTGACACCTACGGCAATGAGTTCAAAATTCCGGACTTCACAATTAAGCAAATCCATGATGCAATTCCAAAGCACTGCTTCAAATCATCAACCCTTAGATCTATGAGTTACGTTCTCCGGGATGGTCTCCTAATCGCTGGAAACTTCATTGGTTTCAAATGCTACATCATCCCAGCTCTTGCGGAGCAACATGTTGCAACGAGAGTTGCCGCATGGGGTACCTATGCGTTCCTTCAGGGTCTCTTCGGAACTGGTATCTGGGTTCTTGCACACGAGTGTGGACACGGTGCATTCTCACCTAGTAAGGTTGTGAATGACACAGTTGGATGGATTCTTCATTCATCTCTCTTGGTGCCTTTCTGGTCGTGGAAGATTTCCCACGGAAAACACCACAAGGCCACTGGCCATCTTGAGAGGGATATGGTTTTCGTGCCCAAGAGCCGTGAGGAGTACTCGAGAAGATACGCTGGAGGGATTGGTCACGATATTGCGGAGCTCACCGAGGAAACTCCAATTGCTACGCTTATCCACTTGGTCCTGCAACAGGTGTTCGGATGGCCAATGTACTTGATCAACAACGTTACTGGCCACAACTTCCATGAGCGTCAATCAGAGGGCCGTGGTGTCGGCAAGAAGAACGGTCCCGGAGGAGGTGTAAACCACTTCGATCCCCGCTCTCCACTCTACGAGGCCAAGGACGCCAAGTGGATTATCATGTCAGATATTGGTATCGCCACCACCATGTTCTGCCTCTACAAGGCTGTCCAGGCGTTCGGTGCTTGGAACATCTTCCTCTGGTACGGTCTGCCGTACATCTGGGTTAACCACTGGCTTGTCGCTATCACTTTCCTCCAGCACACCGACCCTTCGCTTCCTCATTACCACCCCGAAACATGGACTTACACACGTGGTGCCGCTGCTACCATCGACCGTGAATTCGGTTTCATCGGACGTCATCTCCTCCACGGCATTATCGAAACCCACGTTGCACACCACTTCGTCTCCTCCATTCCCTTCTACAAGGCCGATGAGGCCACCGAGGCCATTAAGAAAGTCATGGGCAACCACTACCGCTCAGACACTAAGGGGGGTGCTTGGGGTTTCGTTCGTGCTCTTTGGAGATCTGCCCGTTGGTGCCAGTTTGTCGAGCCCTCTGCAGATGTTGAGGGTGAGGCCAAGGGTGTAGTCTTCTTCAGGAACAGGAACGGCTTTGGAGTGCCTCCTGTTCCAAGGGAGAAGATTGCTGTCAGGCCATCAGATGTGAAGGGTAAAGAGGGTGTTCAAGTGCAGGTCGCTGAGGTATCAGATTCCGAGTAGATTATCTACATTTCTCTTTTTTTTTTGACAAAATCTTTGATGAGTTGATGATTCGTTCTTGGGAAAGGTTGGGGGTAAATATTTGTATGAAAACTAATTGGGAAAGGCTGTAAACTACTTTCAAATTACTTTTTTAGATGCGTCTCAGACCAATAATCCTTCTCTAACATATTTTGACGTGAACTGCCATTGGTAAGGCATGCTTGCATGCAGTTGCGACAGATCGTATTTTTTGTCAAATGGCGTCCCGAGTGATGTGCTGTGCAGACGATTACCAGGCTTTTTTTTTAATTCATTAATTGGATTACCAGGTTTGGGAAATATCAACGAATGTGTAGCATGACCTACGGAGGAGATGGATCATTTGATGTTTTTGAGGTTCCCAATCTTAATCTTGAAGACCGGAGCTATATCCAGATTATAATTATATCGATATATATACCTTAACTAGAGTAGTAGGAGCCAGCAATAACAGTTTGGAATAACTTCATGACCAAATTCAACTTGTTGCGATAAAGGTTTTATTAGTCTCCTATAAAAATATAAAAATTTCAGTAACCCAAGTCATCTGTTTAGTCCCGGCTGGTTGTGATAGTATCCTTCCGTCAATTGACCATGGCGGTATAGTCCATTTTTCTGTTTTGCAAATACTATGTAAGTTCAATACAACCATGATTTCTCTGGGCTCGCATAGGCGTAGATGCTAGCTGCCGTTCACGAAGCCTACTACTCCATGATCCACGTACGCAATTGAGATCTGGAATTTCGTGTCTAGTATGGTTCCCAGATTGTCAGTTTTGTGGCCGGTTTCTATTACAGCGATAATATCTATCACTGTCAATGATTGTATGACGTGTTGGGGCTGTGGGCACCCACATCGGGTCGTACAGGTAACTGCTTGTTGTTAACATTGAGATTCAGCATAAATGAGAAGTGAATTACAATAGCATTAATTTTAGGTTATGTAATGGCGTTATTTAGTCCTATCTAACTTGTGTTTTCTAATATATACTTGAAGTAAACTCAAGTCAAATGCAGTCGACGGTCAATCGGATTGTATAAGTGGAGTGTTCTTGGAACTGAGAGTGTATCCCTCAGGAACCAAGAAAGTCTAGACCCGTCATCTTTGGAGGGGATCAGAGGGCTTTTTGGAGTACAGTTTGCGAAGCTTTTTATGCCCTAAGACTACATCTCGTTCTAAGTTAGACACGTATGTTTTTTGGAAGAAAAATAGGAAAAGAAAAAAGGTAAGAAAGAAAAACGTAATTTCGATGCCATCACAGGAATCAAAGACAATTAACTGTTATAATCTTGGGGAAGCCTCTCCCTGAATACGAGGTTAAGTTAAGAAAGCATCATTCGTTTACAAACTCATCGTGTCATTGTGAGGTGCGACACCCTCTACATAATCTAATTTTTTTGTTTTTTGTTTTTTGTTTTTTGTTCTTCATTGGTAATAAAGGAAGAGAATGACCGGATCATGGTCACAATGCATTAAGTAAATCTTGCAAACCCACCCGACCATCCCCTCCTAATCACAACTCATGGCTGGTCTCCTCGTCCAAGTGATGGCATCGTTGATGCACGTCTCCTACCACTACCCTGGTCCCGATCTTCTCTACTTCTTCGACTTAGGCGACTTGTAAATCCCTGAAAGACATCCCTAAAGATATCACGCTTTCGCTTCTTGGGGGCCTCGGGAACGGCAGTAGCAGCAGTAGCATCAGCAGCAGCAGTAACAGCAGCGCCCAGCTCCACTCCTAGATTTGCATCCTCAGGTGCTAGAGAAGATGTCAACTCTTCACTATCGTTAGTCCTTTCACCATTATCATCATCATCATCCGCCGCCATAGCACGCGCAAACTCTGTGGTGAAAGCAGGATCGCGTGCTGGGGACCAATTACCAGTGTACTGGTTCACAGGTCGTGTAGGACCACCACCCTCCTGACCAGAATTTGGTGGACGCGATATCTCCTCACGTCTTGGTATTGGCGGTATTGGCGGTATTGTGCTTGATATCGATGTGGCCGAGCGTGCATGATATTGGTGAACTTGACTAGAGGCTTGACCTCCTAGATCTAGTCGCACGACGTATCCGTGCGCTTCCCGACTTGGCTGCGAAGGGTCTATTGTTGTGGACCTGATGGGCTGGGTTGTTGATGGCCGTGGAGCGAGAAGCAACCAATTTCTCTGTTCCTCACTCCATACCAAACCGCGTCGGTCTAAGACCTCAGTATTCGCGCGTCTACGATTCGGGTATTCTGGATCGAGCACAACAACGATAGGATTGTCGTCGTGAATTGTAAAACTAGCTAGGGTTTTTGTCCTGTTTTGCCCTCGATTGGTCATTGAGGGGTTCTTGCTATTGTGGTTTACTGGCGCCGCTAGTGTCGACATGATTTGATTGTTTCGTTTTATGTTTATTGGAGGAGGATATGATGAATAAGGTGGTTGTGCGCGCGCTGGTGGGTTTTGGTTGGTTTGGGGTTGACATTCTAAACACCCGGGAGGGAGGGGGTGGGCTGGTATTTATACAGTCGCGAACTTCGTTCTTAAACGGGCAACAAGACGTCAAGAATAAGAAGACTCTCACAGTAATAGGACACCTCTTTTCTCTGACATTTCCTAGTCAACGTTCATTCGAGGAACGGTTTTTCATCATGAGCCCCTATGATCGCCGCTCCACTCCGCAATTGCAAGGCGAAGCTGCTGTTGTCCAGGCGCAAAAACGTGGTTCCCAAATAATCGAACGCATTTTACCCCTGTAGCGCGCGACCCCTCACGAACTTCTGGAAAACGTTTCACAATATCCCCTAGAAGGAACCCCAAATTAGAGAGAGAGTTTAAGACTCGTCACTCAAGCAAGGTTGTTCTCCACGCGCGACCTGGTAGTCGGTGTCAGTAATAAACTTAAGGTCTGACATTTGACACCTCTAACGACTGCGGCTCTGGTACCCGGAACTGATAGTGGTCTCAGCTGTGGCGAAGATCCCAGGCGGAGAAACATATATCAGGTGTCCTTGTGAACCTTGTTTTCCTCCAGTTCAATAGCTCGAAACATTTTTGGATCTTTTGAAATATAAGTTAGTAGGAAGGCGCCAAAAAGGTTGGAGACGCAAATGATCGATATTACCAAGAGTCTTGAAATAGCCGGAACCGGAAAAGCGATGTTGGTTGGAGCACCAGTTTGACAGCTCATGAACGTAGAAAAACACCCACAATCAAAACGCGTCTCTTGTGTCTCCATGAACGCGTGTAGTGTAACGGATGGTGCAATCTCCTTCCGTGGAGAATTGAGGAGCTCTTCTATGCCACTGGGTCACTCAGGGTGAAGATATATGGATAGGTAAGTAGGTAGTTGGCAGTTGCTTGACGAGTTGCTGGTGACTAGATGTCCCATATGTGAGCTGGCAATGATTCAGAACTGCAGAATGACTCAATTATGTATGTAGAGACCGTGCTGGCAGTTGTAGGTTAGAACAGAAAGTACTGTGGGTGTAGGAAATGATAGTAATGAAGATCTTGGCAAAATGGAGAACAGTTCGCCGTTATGAAATGTAGATAACTAGCCGCCGCGCAATTATTTATACTAGTGTAGGTACGAAGAGAGAAAGCAAACCAAATAATAAACGAGGTTCTGTTCCGCGCTGTTTAAGGTCGTTAGGTCGTTTGAAAATAGGCCCAACCAATGTCTACTACCACAGGTTTTCTTGCCTAACAACCGGGTGCTAGCCCAACAGAGTGTCACCACCACCACCATTCTCAATTCCACACATACCACGAATCTCTACTTCGTTATCTACAACAAACCAATTGGTTGAATATAAAGCAGAGCACTTAGTAATCTGAATTGATGTAAAACAGCGCACAAGACTTGATCTCGGTAAAGATATTACGGGTTGACAAAATTATCCGAACATTGTTGCAACCAAATTTTCAATTTCAACGTCGCCTTTTTCCACAACCACAAGGAAAGAGTACAAGAAATTTGATTTCTGTGATTTCTTATACCTCTATTATCTTAAGCTTCAATATGAAGTCAATTGAAGTGGTTTCAAAAATCGGTCATTCTAGCTAATCTGTGTGGTTGCGACGCGAACGTCCGGATAATTTTGACAACCCATAATATATCTTCTCTGGCGTGCACGCAAACCACGGGCTCAACAACACCAGTAACAAGCGCAAAAAATGAAAGTGTGCTCTGACTCGGAGTTGAACCGAGGATCTCAGCATTACTAGTGCTGCGCCTTACCAACTTGGCCACCAGAGCATGTTGAAGGTTCTCCTTATTAAAGGTAAGTAATTTATTGGTGCTATATGATCCTGGTTGACCAACATACCCCAGCATCAACAGGCCTTACTATATTGGTGGAGCTAACAAGCTTTTCTGCTCTAGAATCTACTACCATCAGCGGGATTACACGGCGTGTCTTCATGATTCTCGGTAGCTTCAATTGGTTTGGGGTTAGAGCTGTGAGAATTGATCACGTAGGGTCGGTTCCAGAAAAGATTTTATAATGTAACCAGTAGGGTAGAGGAGCACCTAATAGGAATATAGCTATGAATGGCCTTCGAATTTTCCCACCTGATCACAAATCATATGTAATCTCAACCCGATTGAAAAGCTATCGAGTATCTACTTCCTACGTCCTACGTATGTCGTCCGCGGCCGAAGAAGTACATCTCGGCGCTGCCCCGGGATATTCGACGATCTATAGTAGAATGATAGTACAAGAAGTATGTACCAGATGTACGTACTACAGCCTACAAATTTTGACAAGTTGAAGGAACTATCATTATGTTCAAACTAACGGCATAATAAATGAGCTTCGAAGTGCTATACGGTACTGAAAAAGAGCTGGCGTAGAGTTAGGATGATTCACATAAACCTACAAGCATAAGTAGGGTTGTCTGATCTGATACTTCACCGTATTTATTCTCAGATATTTCAGAAAAATCTTCACTATTGAAATTAGCAAACCCGACGGATCGCTAGACTGAGGTGATCATGATATCTTAGGGTTAGGGTTACTATAGATGAAATTTTCTGCTAAGTTTAATTAGTTCACAACTAAAATTTTAGTTAACACACCAATGCAACGCGATAATAGCTCAGTTGGGAGAGCGTCAGACTGAAGTCTTCATTATCTGGGGTGTCATCTGAAGGTCACCCGTTCAATCCGGGTTTGTCGCATATCTTTTGCTGTCCTGTTGGATGGGGGTGTGATACCTTGGTGGCATCATGGCGTGTCACCCAATCTATGAGTGATGGTGAGTGGTGGGGGTTGATTGTGAGTGATGGTGATGGTTGAGAGTGGCTGAAGTTGACACGAGTCAAACGCGGGATGTGCGCAGTTCAGAAAGAGTGCCCGAAATGCTTCCTACGTACATAGTATGTAGGTACATGTATGTATACATCTCATTAATTTACCACCTAGTACTGGTATTCGCACAGCAATTGTAACTTTGAATTTGGCTCTGATGCAAGGAGAATAAGGCGTTAAGTGACGCAATTAATAAATTTATAAAGCACAGTTCAGGGAATTGCAACGACCACTACTTACATGGCAGAGTAAAGGGCAGGGATTTTCTGTCTAGCGCATATTCTACTTTGTATCAAGGCATCTCATAGGTCTGTTTCCATCCAGACTTGATTTCGGGTTGGTTGTACTTGCAGTTACCGCGAATCACACTTTATCACTCGAATCATAGGCTCAAGCGAATTCGCGATTGATATGTGTACCGTGTATGGGAGATTTTATAAGGTTATGAGCCTATAGCAGTAATTAGTAGGCATGAGCCGATTTTTCTAAGAACTACAAGTTATGTAGGGCACGTACGACCACATAGAGGGGCTCATCGACATGATTTGAACAATCGAGGTTCACATTTGACGTTTTGAACAATATTCTAGTTTATAAGGGGCTATTAAATCCTTATTCAAGCCTTTTTAATATACTTATATACATGTATGGCTTGTTGGAGGCTTGTATGGGGAAACAACTGGTTAAGATTAACCTACTAAGGTTAAGTCCAGACAAGATTTGAAAAGAGAGATCGAGAGTGAATAACACGGCTCGACACATGTAACGTGTTTCACCGGGAAAGCGATCGTCACCGGGAAAGCAATCAAGGGTGACAGCGGGATGATCCAAAGTTGCTGAAGAAAGCCGAATTTATATACAATTACAGAACCAAGTAGCTAGAGGTGTTATTTAGATGTCTCCCCAAATATTTTTGACATGATTTACCTCTATCTAGCAAGAGTATTGTTTCAGAGAGGTCGTTGACTGGGTTAGGGAGTGTAAGCTTTATCGACTTTACCAATTTTTTTTATATTCATTATAAAGTAACTCCAGGATTCGGAAAGGACACACTGAACCCTCTTATATGTGCCTGCCTTCATATATTGTGTTTTGGTGCCCACAACCTCATTTTGTGAGGTTCGGTTGCTTTCCCGGTGATGATCGCTTTCCCGGTGAAACACGTTACTACATGATAAAGTATTATACAAGTATACGTTGGCAACATGTACAATTTAAGTTTTCTCTGGATCCACTAACGATATAGCACAGTGGCAACGTCTTTACATCTAGCTCCTCCCATCATTCTCTAAACAACAAAGCCCCTAGCGGTATAATCATCATTCGTGCCGGCCGCTATGCCACCCTTCATCGTGTGATTGACCTTCTTGATTCTTTGCACCTCGAAGTTATGTAGCCCTTTAATCAAGCGTCTGTTAAGGACTCACCATTGGTAAGTTTTATAAGGTATCTTCGCCACATACTTACCATAGCCTTTGAATCGCATCTAATTTCTTACTTAAGTTACAGAAAGACTTGCTTTCGAATACCAAAAGAGCGGGATAGGAGGATCTCAAAGTACAGAACTATCACGTTGATCGATCCCTTGGTACTCTCAGATATTCCCTTAACTAAAATCGAGATTTCTAGAACGCTAGAGTCTAGCATAGACCGCCCCAGTTGTCGGGAGGGCCCACTACAGGTAATTAAGGTTATTTAAGAAATCTTATCTAGAAAAAATTATCCGAGTATTAATGTGCAATCTTATCATTACTCCGACGGGGTTAGTACTCCGGAGAAAACATCTCCCTTGATTCCACCCTCCGCTTCTAAAGAGTTCCATATCAACAATAGTCGTTCCTACCTACTAAAAAATGGCTGAATAGCTTTGAATAATTATATAAAGTAATTAGCGAGTCCATTTGGGCTGTATATACACCTAAGCTAGAGGCCGTTATCACGGGCAATAACCGCTCAGCCGGTCGGTTTTTCGAGACTCTTGAGTCGAACGCCCCGTGCGCGTAAAAATACCAAACCACGGTCCAACTGTTTTTCTCAAACAGAGGACGTTTGAAGCTACCCGGTAAAGTGCGATTACTGTAAAGTGTACCGGGGTCGGATAAATCTCCCCCGCCGGAAACGGCCGCTCAGTAACAACACACCCCTTTGCCGACGACAACTGCAGGGTTGGAGGTTTCCGACGACCGAAGCCAGTATGGACTAATATTACCTCCGATGGGTATGACTATTGGGCCAAAAGCGGTAAAAATCCTAGTGAAGTATCATAGCACGCGGGTTATATAGTGGACTTTAATTAATCGATTAGGGACATGCCTTATGGTTTCGAGATATGGATTAGATGGTGGACCAAACAGCATGTTCAATAACTCAAGAGTCAACCAACCCAAGAACAAGCCCTCTGGGAGGGGTAAGCTTGTCTCCTGGTAACCGAGAACTTGACCGCACCCTTTAATAAAATTAGTTGGAATTGACGATTGTTATGATTATGGGGGCGGCTACATACGATACGATACGACGTCAGATATTCATGGGGTGTTTTTTTGGTAATGGGTTTCAAAGGGCCCGTGGTTTTTTTTTTCACGATATATAAAGATCAGCTCCCTTCAATTCAAGTTCCTTTCTTCACCAACTTCACAGTCTTTGAATTTCTCAGTAGTTTTATTTCCTACTTCCAACCGGCTAGTTCCGTTCTCTCTCTTTTTACTACAGTCTATCATTCATTCAGAGCAGTGCTCTTAGACTATACACTCCTTCGTTCATTGAACAACTAGCCTTTCTTTCTTTTCAGGAAATCTTAATTCCAATATCACTATGAAGACCTTCGCAGCACTCGCCCTTTCTTTCTCCAGCCTTATGGCTACCGTCTCCGCTCACGGTTACATCGTCTCTCCTCCTCGCCGTGCCCCTGGTGCAGAGATGTCAGCTGTCTGTGGTAGCACCATTTACAACAACCAGGCATCAGACAATGCCGGCCCAATTCAGTTGCTCATGCAATCTGCTTCTTCTATTGTCGATGTCGATGCTTGCAATCTATGGCTCTGCAAGGGTTACCAGTTCGCAGACAACACAGACCAGGTCCAGTCTTACACTCTTGGACAGACAATTGATATGGAGGTCAAGATTGTCGCACCTCACAGTGGGTACGCCAATGTGTCTATTGTCGACACAAAGACAAACACCATCAAGGGCTCCGAATTGAAGTCATGGGATGTATATGCATCTACAGCAACCGGTGTTACTGCCGATGAGACAAACTTCAGCATCACTATTCCCACCGACTTGAGTGGTTGCACCACCGCTGGAGGTAAATTATCCATAGCCTCTCCATTTGAATACAGCATTGAAAGGTCTTAAAGCTAATGATTCGTAGAGTGTGTCATCCAATGGTTCTGGTACGCTCCTCCCTCTGTTGACCAGACCTACGAAGGCTGTATCGACTTTGTCATTTCCGATGGAACTGCCGCTACCACTTCTGCCGCTGCTACCACAACTGCTGCTGCCACTACATCTGCTCCCACTGTCGAAACCACCTCTGCTGCTATCGAGACAACATCCGCTGCCGTTGAGACTACTTCCGCTGCTGTCGAGACCACTTCTGCCGCCGTCGAGGTCCCAACTACCTCCGCTGCTCCAGTCGAGACTACCTCCGCAGCTGTTGAAGTTCCCACCACCTCCGCAGCGCCCGTTGAAAGTACTTCGGCCACTACTAAAGTGCCTGCCGAAACTACTTCTACAGCGGTTATCGCGACTTCCTCTACCGCGGTCGTAGTCCCCACCACCTCCGTCGCAGTCCCAACCACCCTTGTCACCAAGACCCGCTCCAAGACCTCCACTGTTGTTCCGGTGACCAAGACCTCTACTTCATCTTCTGCTCCTGCTGCTACTACCTCTGCTGCTGCTTCAACTGGTTGCAGCAAGACCTCAGCAGAGTACAACAAGTGCCTGGATGCGGTAAACATGTGCATTAGGAATTCTCAGAGCTCCACAGGTGGTGCGGTTGATTTCGCGGCCTGTGAGGCTCAGAGAGCTGCTTGTACTATGTGCTAGAGCGGTATGATTTTAGATGGTTTATAATTCCAATATTTGTACAGTATATATTCTTTATTTATAGTAGAAGGAGGAGAGGGTGTAAAAGGTTCCTTGAGGGAGTCAAGTTAAATAATTAGAGTAAATGTTATGCTTTTAGAAAAAAATCTTTTTTGCGATGTTGTAATATGGTGATCAAAGAGGCTTCTTCAAAGAGTAGCTCATGCATATATACTTGGTATCCAAAGTGCCAGGCTATAGTAACACATAACGCCTTTTATGCCTCTATTTTAGGTGAAAACAAATGTGATCAAACAGGGAAACACAACACAGTACTTTTAGAAAGAATCTAAGCACATACATACACACGCTCCGTAGTCTTGAAGGTAGAAATGTGTCATTGCAAGGGTGGGAAGACACGGTCGACCAATATGCCATGTCTTGTCACTAGAAAAATTAAAAAATTCGTGTCACTACGTGAGTTTACTATGAAGTTGAGACTCGAGAAAGAGAAAAATCTCGTTTACATTCTCTCCATTATTAGCAGCATTGTCTCTCACACAGAATTCCTACACTAATATTCTGATCATGATACCGGAAGTCAAAACTAGCACACCAGTGCACCTATTCAGGCGCTGAATTCATGACCAACCTGGAAGCTAGCTCATCATCGCCGGAAGATTTTTTTTTTTTTTTGTTTAATTCATTAATTTCATCGCCGGAAGAGGGGGTGGTTGGGGTTCTAAGATTCTTGAGGCTTTGAACAAATTCGCTAATGATGGAATACAGGGCGCGCGGCTAAGTGGTCTCTTTATGCTTTTACTCCCGCACTCTGCTAGGTTTCCATAAAAAATAATCAAAATAATCATGGACGAGTGAGAGATCATGATTCTCTCGGCCCCGGCCGGAACTCGGCATGCCGTGCAAATTTCAATTTATGCGTGCCCCCTAGTTTAGCGCGGCGGGGGATGTTCTACTTTATTCTTTATTTAACTAACATCGTCTTCCCAGCAAAGAACGGCCACTGACAGCTCACCGCTCATCACGGAGCTTCCGAATCCCGATGTTTTTTTTTATTCTTTTTTTATTTCTCGGTGGTAGGGCGATTATCGGAATGTTTGTGTCTAGGGATAGCTAGAGGGAGGGAAGAAATCGTACGATTGAGCTGTCAGCAGTGGGCAGGCTCTACTTCATGATCGATCACGAGTGCCGCGGTTAAGCAGAGGTCGCAAAAAGACCCCAATTCATGTGTGGAAAATACTATATATATGGCGTCAGCATTAATAGAAGCTACTATAAACACCCAGCCGCCACTGGATCTAGGCCGTCCTAAGTAAGAAGCTGCACACAGATAACATTAACAGAACTCTCACTGACCCTTCGATTAGGGAGTTAGTACATGTGCCTTTTCCAACAGATTTCCTTTTTGGGCGGTATGTATGCCAGGGGCAGAGAATAAAGTACATGCATATATTAAGCGTCTACGCTACCAGGTCCCAGCGTTTGGATTCGGGGCTAATGAGTGGGGTATATGGATGCCCCCTTCTTCCGAAATGGGACCGGATTATTTAGTAAGTCCTGACGAATGGATAACTCTATAGTTGACACTTGAAACTCCTGCAGATCCGTTTCAAGCGCAAACTGTCGTCGTCGTCAACTCGACCCGACTTCTTCGGGGACGAATGACCCGTGGGTAAGTTGGTGATGTTAAGCTGCTGGGTGACCGACTGAGCAGCCAGTTTGGCCAAAAGTCTTCTTATGAGCTACACAGTTTATGAGTTTATGCAAAATACCAATACCTATCTATCTGCATATACTTTACAGTACTCTCAGACACCACATATTGGCAGTGTTGATGGTACCTACCAGATCCAGAGCAGCCGGCCGCTGAGTTGCGAATTGCAATATTGGGAATGCCAGTTACTCCCTCTACTATACAATATATGTACGCCGCACTATACACAATATAATGTATAGCACCTCGTAATAATCACCCCACTGTGAGATCCGTCCGCCGTTCATCTGTTCAGATCGGGACCGGAAGCTGCCGCGCGGCAATAGTAGGGAAATGTTATGAAAGTTATTCCACAGCATTCCCAGGTCCTAGGAGAATATTAAAGGAGACCATCCTGGTTTTGTCGAGGGGTTGCTGGACAGTGATGGGGTATAGATTTTTAGGGGATGCACGGACCCTCAGGGGTGCATATAGTAGTTTGTGTGGGAGTTCTACTGTTTGGGACGTACCTTAGCTCTGTTTCCCGGAAATATTATGATTGCTGACAGTGGACTGCACTGACGCAAGAACGGCTCGCTACCAGAAGAATCCATACCCATGAGTACGCAGATATAGCCAGTATGCACATATAGCCGTGAGTGGAAGAGGTGCCAAGATGTGAAACGATCATTTCAGGGTAATAACAGAGACAGTACTACTACCAATGCGGTAATGTGAATAGTAACAAAAACAGCCATGCAATAAACTTGAGAAGGGCTAAGTAAAATATCCGAAGGGGAGTGGTATTTCTCCGTTCGTACGCGAGTGGCTACTGAAACGACGATCCAGGAACAACATCATTGCAAGAGAAATTCTCCATGAGGGTAGTACGGCATGCAGTAGAAGGATCCAAGAATCACCACCACTATATTCTACTTGGCCCATGCATGGATAATGGTAGTAATGACAGCAGTAGATTCTCGATGGGATCTATCTGTGCACTGTGAGATTCAGCTATATAAGATGTTGTCTACTTCCACAACCTCAACTTTTCTTCCCCATCGATCATTCGACCTTCATTCACTTCACACTTCTGTCCGCTCCTCAGCTTCTCTTTCCCTTTCCACCGGCTTGACGCCTTTTTCCTCTTTCATTCATTTTTGAATTATTCTTCAGTGACCCAGTGTCCTGTCTATCTCTATCTTTTATTTCCACTACCGTCAATCCTAGTCGCCGAGCGTCTCAATACACAACAGAAGTTCTTTTTTAATCCTTTAAACCAAACAACCATTCAAAATGAAGACTTCAATCATTCTCTCAGCTCTTGGCACTGCTGCCCTCACTGCTGCCCATGGTATTGTCCAGAACCTCAACATTGGTGGGAGCGAATACTCCGGATACCTCCCATACAATGACCCATACTCGTCACCCGTTCCTGAGCGTATCGTATGGGCTTTCCCTACAGCCGGTAACGGCCCTGTAGAGGATGTCAGCACCTCTGATATCACCTGCAACAAGGCTGCCACTGCTGCCAAGCTCACTGCCCCCGTTGCTGCTGGTGATAAGGTCGAATTCTTCTGGACTACATGGCCTGAATCCCACAAGGGTCCTGTCATGACCTACCTTGCCAACTGTGGCGGTGACTGCACAACTGTTGATGCCACCACACTCAACTACTTCAAGATTGACGAGGCTGGTCTCAACAGCGACGGTACATGGGCGTCCGATGACCTCATTGCAAACAACAACAGCTGGACCGTCACCATTCCCTCAGACATCGTTGCTGGTTCGTACTTGATCCGTCACGAGCTCCTCGCTCTCCACAGTGCCGGTACCGCAAATGGTGCTCAGTTCTACCCCATGTGTGCCAACTTGGAGATTAGTGGATCTGGATCAGCTGTGCCCACTGATACCGTCAAGTTCCCTGGTGGATACTCTGCCACCGACCCCGGTATCTTGGTCAACATCTATGGCACTTTGACCAGCTACACTATTCCGGGCCCGGCGGTCTATGGATCTTCTGGATCTGGATCTGGGTCTGGATCTGCTACTACTACTGCCGCTGCTGCTCCCACCACCACTGCTGCTGCCGTCGAGACTTCATCTGTTGCTGCCGCTGAGACTACATCTGTTGCTGCTGTTGAGACCACCTCCGCTGCTGCTGTTGAGACCACTTCTGCCGCCGTTGAGGTCCCAACTACCTCTGCTGCCGCCGTCGAGACAACTTCTACTGCCGTCAAGGTCCCAACAACCTCTGCAGCTGCAATCAAGACTAGCTCCACTGCCGCCGCTGTGGTCCCTACCACCTCCGCTGTTGCCGCAGTCCCAACCACCCTTGTTACCAAGACCCGCGCCTCCACCACTGCGGCCGCCGCCGCTACCTCTGCTGCCGCTTCAACCGGATGCAGCAAGACTTCAGAGGCTTACAACAAGTGCCTCGATACTGTCAACCAGTGCATCCGCAGTGCGCAGTCCACCACCGGTGGCGCTGTCAACTTTGACTCTTGCAATGCCCAGAGAAGTGCCTGCACCATGTGCTAAGTGTGATGTTGTATATTTGTCAATAACGTTGCGAGAACCAAAAAGGGATGATGGGGGTATAGCATGTAGTATGTATATGTAGCGATTCGCTTTTTTGTTTGGTTATAATTTTTTAGTTAGATTTTTTGGGGAGGTGTAGTCAGGCAGGGAATGGCACTGTGTGCGGTTCTCTGGCTTGTGTAAGTGCTGGATGGATTTGTATAAATAAAACAAGTTTATCCCTAAGTTGTTTTTTTCCCGAGGTGTGAATTCTGGCTGTGAGTGATAGTTTATGATTGGAATGTGTTCTATCCAATAATTATGGTTAAGATATCCATTAGGAATTTCGGCAATTTATTATCTGGATGACGTCCGACCGATAAGAGTCCCTGGTTTATGAAAAGGGTTCGACGTCTAAGCTTGCCCGGAGAACCCATATTTCTCTTCACGTTGATGAAAACCAACACTAGACCCAGCTGTAGATGAAGTTAGCTCTAATTCAACAGTAGGAAAGTAGCCAATTATCAAGAGTGTACACCTATCTATTCCAGGGAATAGACGATGTTGCGGTGTACTGATCTCCACGGATGCTTCCAGCTTCCCCGTGAAGAGGACTTACGTATACGATTAATTGTGTTAAGAACACATCCCACGAGGAACGTGTCAAATATCCCACTATTTAAGCTCGCCTCAATTGTCTGTCTCTCTTCGAAAGTTATTTTAGCGACTAGTTCAATCCATTCTCCATATTTCTTGCCCACTGCAGGCCCACACGACAAAAAATATGGATCTAAGATGTTCATCCCGACCTTTTGATATCCCAAACCATATGGGAATGATTAGTAGGAGACTGCCAAGATCGGTCAAGACCAAAGTGTGTTTCAATCATTGACCCACGCCTAGTAGTGCGTTTTTGCTGAATATTAAATTTGGAACTATACCTCATGCACCGATCGCGACACTGCTAACTTATGCTAGGGCAATGGAGTTAGTAGTTTATCGGGGGCTATTTGGTGATTATAAGAATAGGAAAGGTATTCATCTATCGATACATACCCTTTGTGTCAATTGCATTGCATACTGAGAGGAAAACAGCTAAACAGGACTGGGACCAGCCTAGCCTAGACTATTGAAAACGCCAGTCCAACAAATTTTGGCCCGAACATGGCAGGTCATGTATCAGCTAGTCTCTGCTCTTCAACCTTAACCGTCCATTTAGCGGAGATCTAACGTTACTCTTGGTCTAGGAATCAGCTCGTCTTAAATACTGGCTTTCGGAATATGAAATAGCTGCCGACATGTATTTACTGATAGGATTGATTAAATAGCTTTTTCCATTGGTTGTTCTTTTGACGCCGGTCCCATTATGTTTCGATTTGCCGTTTGGGTAGGACCTAGTTTTACGGCACGTACGGTATTATAATCTACCCACAAATGGTACTTCTACTCCGCTAATTACTCCAGACCCAGACCTAGCTAGAAGAATGAATGATGAGATCCATTTTTTTTCCCGACTACCTAGCTATCTATGTAGCTATCCAGACTTACTTACCATTGGGCCATGACCAGGTATTAGCCAATCCATAGTGTACGAGCGGACTTTGCTCACACAATCATCACCTCCTTCACACCCTCCGTCTCCTCAACCCACCACTCCCTAAACACCCTAATCCTCTCCGCCCTCACCTTGGCCAATCTCTTCCCCTCCGCCGTTTTCATGCCCCCCTCCAATTTCAACAATTTATCCTCAAAGTGGTCAATCACCCCTCCCATCCCCTCCCCTGGTCTCTTCGCCGCCCCGAAAGTAAACGCCCTCCCCACGCCCACCGCCCCAATCGCGTCCAACCGGTCCGCATCCTGCACCACCTTCAGCTCTGGGTGCGCCTTACACATCTCCGCTACCACCTCCGGGTTCGCGCGCTCGTGCGAATACGACACATTATTGATGAGTTTCTGGATCGTCGTAGCCAGGGCTGGGTCGCAGCCGGCTGTGAGTAAGAACTCCTCGGCCGGCCCGAAGGCACCTGTCCTCTCTTGATCGGCCCCCGAGTACTTCTTGTCGCCGACGTCGTGCAGCAGCGCGAGCAGGGTTACGAGAGTCGGGTTGTAGAGCTGTTCACCGGTTGAGGTCGCGGTCTCGGCGGCGAGGATCTGCTGCGCGAGTGAGAGCACACGCAGGATGTGCTGGTAGTCGTGGGAGGAGTCGTATTGTGCCATATAGGCCTTTACGTACTCGTGCGTGGCTATGATGAGGGCGCCTCGCGAGTGCACTTGGTCCATGGCTACGGATGTGTCTAAATGCTGCGGGAGGTTTGTTCTGTCGTTGGAAGTACAGACGCTATTTCTTTTCTACTTGTCCGGTTGATGAAGTGACTCAAGTTGAGATGAAGGGACCTTCCCAACGCGTCTTGCCCCTCCCTCTGCTTTTACTTGTTGCTATTCGTCATTGCCAGCAGAGGTTTATCAATGGTGTTGGCAATGCAATCGCCAGAGTAGGTATACGCAACTCGCACGGAAGGTATTTTGATAAGAATCAGAGTCAGGATTCCTTTCGCTCTGAAGAGAAGTCATTTGGCAAGCGGAAAGTACCCACTGGTTAAACTCCATGATATTAACCGCGACCCTTCTTGGTGCAGGTTCCCGGTGATTATGAAGATCGGTAATTTACATGTTTCACGATCACTAACTCCGCATTAGAAACATGTGGAGCATCTAGACGAAGAAAGTGTGCTTGGAAGGGGGCAACATTCAGGCAATAGTTCTTTGAACGTCAGCGCGGTCTCAAAAAGCGACAGGACAAAAATGAATAGTGCTCTGACTCGGAGTTGAACCGAGGATCTCAGCATTACTAGTGCTGCGCCTTACCAACTTGGCCACCAGAGCTACTGTATTGGCTAAGTATTTTGAAAGATTATAATCCCTATCCATGCTTGTGTCACTAGCACAGATTATCACTCGGGTCACTTGAAACCCCACCAGAAACATATCCCGCCCGACTGTGCCGTAACACACAATCCTAGCTGCTTTTCGCAAAAACTGCATTTGTCTCCGCCAGAAAGCATATCAAGTGACTGGCAGTTAATGCTTTGAAATCCTCCCGTCTCTTGAGCCTAAGTAGGGATCAAGCATGTTCTCTCGCCAAGAACCCAGATCTAGCTGCAGAGAACATTCCAACTTCCAAGTTTCCAAAAAGTCACGAAGCAACACACACCTTCTGTACTAACCTGCTAACTATAATCCCCCCGCCGCTCCCCCGAAGTCCCCGGAGCACCGCTACTAGCAAAAGTTAAAACAACCCCGGATTCCAACTACATCCAGTAAATCTACATGTACGTTGTAGTAAGACAGGAGTTTAGGTGTACTAATTACCAAACCAAGTTAGCACAGCACCTATTAGTAGCTGCGCTGCTTGCTTAGCCGTAGCATGCTAGGAAAAAAGGACTCCCCGCGGCAATTAATACATAACCTGAGGGCCTGCAGCTAGCCTGTTTTGGGCTCCGGGATGCTGTGCTACTGCTCTTGCTATGCTCTGCTTGGCTTGGGCGCAGTGCGTAGTGCGAGGTGAGAGGTGCATAAGGAAGTAAACGCCGACGTGAGAGCTAGGTTGGAGATGCTCTACACATGGATATTAATGGCAGGTACGTACTACGTACCTATATGTACTTAGATGGGCCATGGGATCGCCAGTGCCGGGTGTGGGTTTCCCCGCAGCGGGAGGCTGCGGTGTGGAGTAGAAGTGGACGGGGGAAGGCCGGGGGGATGGGATGGGGTATACGTATTTAGGTTTGGATGGGGAAGGTTGGATGGGGAAGGTTGGATGGGGAAGGTTGGAGTGACGGATACCATGGGGGGGGGGGGGGGCTGGAGGGTGGATGGTGGATCGTGGATGGGCGATTCGGAGAGATGGAAGTGAGGGTTTCCTTGTGTATAGCTCTCGAAGGAAGGGGTCGAGGGGGAGGAGGGAGGGGGGGAAGAGTATAAATATTCTCCCTTCCAATGGGCCCTCTCTTCATTCCTTTCTTCTCTTCTACAATTTCAATATACCTATACCCAATTACTGTATTACAACTCATATATCTATATATAGCACCCCCTACCTACCTATAAAGTCAGTATATCACTCCGCTCCCAATGGCGCCCGCCTCCTCAGCTGCAGACAGACTCCTCCAGATCTCTAACACCCTCCCCGCCACCAGTACTTCCGCCAGAATGCAATTCGACCCCAACTCCAACAGCTTCCCCCTCCGCAAGGACCTCCCCGCCATCCCCGGCGCTCCCAAGGGCGCCGCTTGGTTCTGGGGCGCCGACGACCAGGTAATATAAGCCACTACCACCACCTCTACCACCACCACCACGCAATCTGAAGTAGCTAACAGGCGGTATGTGACAACAGCTCGGGCGAGTGAACCTCCTGACGCCCGCGCGCGTCAAAGAGGCCGTCAAGGAAGTCGTGACCGGCGAGACGGTGCCGCTGAATCTGGAGGTGTCGGAGCTGAAGCCGTGCTATGGGCGAGAGACGTTTGCGCACACGATCAAGAGCATCATGCCCAGGGTGGCGTTTGATGATCTGTATTCCATGAATACGCAGAGTAGTACGCAGTGGGATGGGCTGCGACATGTAAGTATATCTGTGTTGGTGAGGCCGGGCGGGTCGGAGGGTAAGGCAGTGGGAAACTGGTGGTTAATTGATCTGGCGGCGTGGTGATAGGTTGCGCATTTATCCTCGGAGATTTTTTATAACGGGGTATGTATCCACCCATTTGTCTCCTTTGTAGCCTGTAGCCCCTTACTGCGCGGCAATTGATACTGACTCCTGCCGGTCCACAGTGCACACAAAAAGACATCATCGGCCCGGCCGCAAACACCAAATGCGGCATGCAAGCCTGGTCACAGCACGGCATTGTCGGCCGCGCCATCCTCATCGACTACGTGGGCTACGCCGAGGCCAATAACCTCCCCGCACTCGACTACTACGACAACCAGAGCATCCCGCTCAGCGCGCTCGTCGCCGCGGGGAAGGCGCAGGGCATTGACGTCCGTCCTGCGGCCCAGGGCGGCGATATTAGGGTCGGTGATATCTTGCTGATCCGTAGCGGGTTTATCAAGAACTATAGGAGCCTGAGTCCGGAGGATAGGGTCAGGCTGCATTCGAAGACGGCGGGATTTGGCGATGATGATGAGCAGACGTATCCCGGACTTGAGCAGACGGAGGAGGTGCTGGATTGGTGAGTTGGATCCTGTCCTTTCTTTCGGGTGCGGGTGGGGCTAATGGTGCGGTTGATAGGCTTCATGATTGCTATTTCGCCGCTGTGGCCGGGGATGCGCCAGCATTTGAAGCATGGCCGAGTAAAGCTGGTATGTATTATCAACCATCCCCAAACTCTTTACCCCCCATTCTAACATTGGCGTAGATTTCTACCTCCACGAATACATCCTCGCGCTGTGGGGCTGCCCGCTGGGCGAGCTGTGGGATCTGGAGAAGCTGGCGGCCAAGTGCCGGGAGAGCGGGAAGTGGACGTTTTTGTTGACGAGCTCGCCGGCGAATGTTAATGGCGGGGTGGGGTCGCATGCTAATGCCATTGCGATTCTCTAAAGGGGGGTTTTTTTATATCATTTTTTATGTTTGTTTTGTGATTTGTATATCGTCGTTGTTTTTCTATGTTTATGGGATATTGGTATGGGATGAGGTCGGATGAGATGAATGGGATGGGATGGAGGCTGTTGGCTACGGCAACTGTGGACTTAAGGCGAGGAATAGTTGGCGTGACAGCCTGTCCTCAATCATGTCGTATAAAGCTGGAAAGAAAGTTGAGCAGTCCTGTTATTTAATACATCACCGTCTCTCTTCCCCTCCAACAGTTCAGTTTATCTTGCTGCAGCCATTGGAACACTCACTGCCTTACCCATACTCTAGATACAGTACCTACTCTCTCTATCCGGGCACTCTCCTTATCGTCAAGTCCACTCCCCCCTTATCTCACCGGTAACATGCACCGTCTGTATATTCTCCACTCTTGACCCCAGCAGCTCAATCTTAAAGGTGGAGCGAACAAATCCTAGCACCTTCCCCCAAATCTCACGGTCCCGGGAAAACGCCGCTTCTGTGCCGTCAATGCACATACCATATCGCCAGAGCACTCACGATCCTTTACAATCTCAATCTCAGCCCAAATTTTGAAGGTCCAAAAAAATAAATATTTCCCTAATATATCGCACCAGCCCAGCGCTCAAACAAAAACACCCCTTCCTCTCGCAGCCCTAGTTAATTATACAAAAAAAAGAAGAAAAAAGAAGAGAAAAGGTAAGAGAAAAAAATAATAATATCACCAAATGGTAAAATTACTCCCCAGTCTAGCAGGTAAAAAAAATTGAGACCCTCTATACTTCACTTCCATTATGTACTCCAGCGGACAGGACGCTCAGCACTACCAGAGCACCCCTGGAGGAGCAAAGCAGGAAAGCTACCTAGAGCATCCTCCTTCACCCACTCATTCGTCCTCGTCCGTCACCTCATGGATCGTGCCCAACCGCTTCTTCTTCGCGGCGGCAGCAGCAGTAGGCGCAGCACTACGAGAAGTTCCTCTCGCAATAATCCCTTGGGCAAAAAACGTCAGTCACCACCGTTCCAATCTATACACTCACTGCCCCGTCCCCTCCCCCCTCTCTCCCCCCTCCCCATAAACGGTAGAAAGGGCAAAAACAAACCTCCCTGTCGCCAAAAAGTCCTGCACATTCTTCTCGTTCTCCTTACGCTCTGCGGACTCAACCTCGTTGCGCTTGGCCTTCTCTTCGCGCCGCGTCTTGATCGGGTTGGCGATGGTCTTGAGCGCCTTTTTGGCCCGCACGGACTTGCTTTTCTTGAGCCCGCCGCTCATGGGCATGGGCGTGGGCTCCTCGGTGGGCGGTGGTGGCGGCGGTGGGGGGATCTGCGCGGAGAGGGGCGCCGCCGGGGTGGTGTTGCTGGTGGGCACCGGCTTGCGGGAGGTGGAGGCGGAGGAGCGGGGGATTATTGGCATTTTTGCTGGTTGTGGGGTGGGTGGTGTATGGAGTGGTGGTGGTGGTGGTGGGTTTGGAAAGTGCACGGCAGCTGGAGAGGTTGGATAGATAGGCTGGTAGGTAGATAGGTGGTATCAAGAAGTGAAGAGAAGAAAAGAAGCCGAAAAACCAGTTTTTCAGAAACACGTGAGCTACTGGAACCTCCTGGATGGGAGGGGGGAGGTGGGAGAAGGTGGCTCTTTAAAAGAAACCTGCCGGCCCTGCTTTCCCTGGGCTCAAAACGCAATTTGCAATAAGAGTGAGTATCAGGTAAGTGGCACACACACACACATACCATACCATATCGCACTGCAGCCCGCGCGCGCGCCTTGATTACTTCTAGCTACATGGAGCAGTGACGGAGAAAAAAAATACTGTCGCACATACGGCCGCAGCAGTCTCTATCAAATCAAATCAGTATCTTAGCAGGTGTCAAGATAAGTGGTTAATTAGGTAGCAGCGCTTAGGAGCAGGGTACCACTCTTGTCTCGTCTCTTGTCTCTTGTCTCCCCCGCATAGTTACATACCCCGGAATCTTCGCCTACCTGCTTTTTTGCTTGGTAAGTGCGTACATATAAACACTTGATTACGTATGTGTGAGGCCCTGGACAATGAATGAGGGCAGTGATTGGATTGGGCCCCCCTTGCCGCGACGGCGGTGATTGGGTGAATGGTGTTCATGTGCTATCACTCGTTGTGGTTGGGTGGGGTTTTATGCACACAGCCTCTCTCTCTCTCCTAGCTCTGGGGGTTTCTAAATATGTTTCTACGTAGGTGGTACTTACTGCCTGGGCAAAAGGAGCTATATGTAGTGCTTGTTTCCGCACTGTGAGGAAAAGAGACATTGGTTGGATTATGCGGCGGCGGGTGCCTGTGTGAAACATTGTTGGGTAGTGGTAGTCGTAGTCAAGTATACTATTCCTCCACCAGCGCCGCATGTTGTATCTGTTCTACAACACTGCAGTACCGGAATGCAAAAAAAAAAAACAGCAAGATACTGAATGATTGCTATAGCTAAGAAAATGTATTTGAAAAAGCCCCTGTATATATCCGTCCAAGTTCAATTTGCCCGGCCCTTCTTCAGCCGCTATCGATGCTATTAATTCATTAAACAGTCAATTGCTCTACCCCCTATAGTAAGGGAATCGAATTTCTATAGGATCTAGCTATTATTTGATAAGAGAGATAATTATATAATGGGACCTGTTAGTAAAGCCACACTGAATTTGTTCTTCGCTGGGGGGTTAGCATATATCTGACGGCGTAATGAAACATTTAAATATCAATCAACCTGATCTGGCGGCTTAAGCTAGGATAATCAACTATGTATGTACAAGTACCTTTCTCCACTCAATCCAAGAATTGAGAGTGACCGCACAAAGAGTCGCATCATATCATTTAAAACGGGCGAGCGATTGGAGAGTTAGAATTTCAAATCCGAGTCCCACCACGACCATGGTAAAAATCTAACACCGTTAGTCAGAGATACTCAAACTCCCCTTCTTATATATACTAATTACAACAGCTAGCTTATAGTCAAACTTACACTGCCAACTAAAAAGGAGTTATAGTTGTCAACATTCGAATAATTATACTTGTATCCATCGCTCTTTGCATTTGTAGTACTACTAGTGCTTTCGACCCTACTTTTGGACAAATGCTCGTCCACTCGCTTCACTATTTGGTCCATTTGGGCTAGCTGGTCGTCAATCCGCTTGAACCCGTAGTCGAGCTTCTCGCTGAGGTGCTTGAGTTCTGGATTATCGGTTTGGCAGGCAAGGGGGTCCCCGGAAGTAGTTGACGTACTGGTATTCCTCGACCCCTGATATATAATTGACCCAGATATTTAGCAGAGCAAGCGTATTAACGCCGAGTTATAAAACTTCGTGGAGACGGAAACTTGCATTTGCGATAGTGGAATAGCGAGGGTAGAATCCTCTACTAACGCTGACCGGGACTACTCTGTAGATAGATTTACGAAACATCTTGTGGAAGTGATGGCTGGCTGGCGGGCGGGTGCTGGCTGGTGTCGTGAGTGCTGTGAATGTGTTCTGGAAGAATTAAGTAGAAGAATCAATCAATCTATCCTCCTCGAGTAACATAGTGTCATCATCCCATCACTTAAACTATTGTGGGGTGACAAAAGTTCTCGTGGTTTCCGTATAGCAACCAGCAGAAACCACCAAACCGATCCACAAAGTCAGCAACCGGGATTCATATGTTCTATCAATCTTCAGCTCTGATCATGTTTGTATCTTCATTATCTTTTACGGTCGTCATTTCATGGCCCGTCCTCGTAGTACAGAATCACGAGAACTTTTGTCACCCAATAATACATTGTCGCGGTCCACCAGTACTTGACAGAACAAACCTGTGACTACAATATTAACCCTAGCATATAACTAGTATATTCGATCGCTATAAGAAATACAGTACGAAAAAAAAACGGGGCGAAATCAATAACGAAATTTAGTGACGAATACGGAATTAAACCGACACCACAAAAAAGAATACCGACGTATTATTGCTGGATTACTAGCACATATGTTAATAGGTATTGTAGGGTGAAGAAAAGAAAAGAAGAGAAAAACGGCAAGCACGTGTACTGTTTCCGTATTTGAAGGCGCTAGTGAACCGGTCTGCTCTGGATGGGATGGTGTTTAAGCTTTTGTCGCATGTGGGCGGGCGGGCGTGTTTCTGATCGGACCCTGTCAGTGTCGTTGTTGTTGTCGTCTTTAACTGGATCAGTGTGGCTTTTACTTCATTCTGCTTTACTCTACCATCTGCTCTAGGCTGCAGGTACTGAGGAGATGAAGAGGAAGGATCGTCATGCTGATCTTGTCAATATCCTTAGACACCATCGGCGGGATTTATTTTTTTCTTTTGATAAAATTTCTATAGATGATCTAGACTGCAGTACTGCGTGGCTTTCTCAAACGAACGACCCTCTCATCTCACGGTACGGCCATAATCACTCGGGAAGAATAGTACAATCAAACGGGCAAAGAACATAGCAAAGATCACCGGAGCATAACCGTTATCACAAAGAGTCTTATCAGCAAAATTGTCCTCCCCCTGATGGAGTTGCTAGGATTTCTCAGCACCGAGATTACAATAGCATCGTTAGATATCGATATCGTGGCTTTCTCGAGAATCCCCTTTAATCTCAACATGGAATACACATACAGGCACTTAATGCTTGTTATCTATACTAAAATAACGGCCAAAGTGTTCCCGCTACGCTACATACCACCACCCCTGCGGAAAGGTCCGGGGTAAGGTAATTTCGAAAAGAAAAAAGCAGACTCTCCAAGGATGATGAGATGAGCGTTCTTTAATATTAAACATCGACAATAGCCATTCCCGCCCCTTAACGCAAAACACCGCGCGCGCAAAGGACGACAACATACACATAAAGGGAAAGGAAATTTAAAAGGAAACCGCTATTGAAGATCCGGGCATATTCCAGCCCTTAAGATATGCAGTAAAAAAAAAAAAAAATTCAATAAATCAATAAATCCAAAACTCCAGTACCTTTTTTCTTCACATAGGAACAAAAAAAACAGAAAGAAATAGGGAAACAACTATCGCCAGCCAAACAGCTTTGCTTTCCACCCCTTCTTTACTTCTTCCCAGCTTTTCCTCTTGGTTTCCCGAGCTCTTTCTCGCTCCATCATCTTTAATCTTGCCGCTAGTTCTTCAGCATCGACTTGTGCTATCTGTGCTGCTGCATCGGCCGGATGAAGTCCAACTCCTAGGATACTTGCTGCACTGCTACCAGGAGCGGTAGCAGTGCTGCTGTTGAGAAACCAGCTGCTGCGCTTTGAGTTGGGGCTGGTCCATTGATTCTCGGGAATGAGCAATGGAGGCGGCGCTATTCGCATCATTTCGATCGTGACATCGCCGTTGGAAGCAGTGGATTCGGAATAGATCCAATGACTGCCGATTTCTAGGGTAGGTAAGGGATGCTTTGTGGGAATAGTATTCCATGCAGATGGCGGATTATTGAAAGGGTTAATATGTGCCCCAGTTCCTGCAGGTCTAAAATCAAGATTCAAGCTCTCGAATCCAACTACTGTATGTCCATAAGAGATTAGACCAAGGTCAGGGGCGTATCTCGTCTCGATATTCTTCTCAACTGGATCTGCGCCTTTGTCGGGGGTTTTCAAGTATCGAATTGTGGCAGGCCCTCCGAATATCGGATAAATCATTACCTGACCTAGAATACCCCCGCCCCTGTACTCCTCACACCGGATAGAGCCCCAGATGATCACTGAATCTCCACTGGGAGAGAAGAACATTTCCATATCTCTCTCTGGGACAAGGCTGAAATATGGCGCTACAATGAAATTAAAAGCACGTGTGACCTTTCCAGACGTAGCTTGAACGAGTACCACCCGGTGAAGGTTTTCGTGGTCTGGAAACTGACGATGCGGAAATTTCTGGGCGATCAACAGATGAAAACCCGAAGTATCTGGCTTGAGGGAGATTAGAGTAGCTGGTGAGATACTGAGCTGCAGCTCAAGTAGCTCTGTCTCTGTTGATAGGTCATTGCTTGAGGTTAGGGCATGAAATCGCATAATCATAATCCTACTCCCTCCACTATTGTCGAGGGAGTTTAAAAACGCAATATAATGTTCGTTAAAAACTGGTTGGAGCCTCCTTCGTCCCGCCGTAGAATCGCTCTCGACAACACCATGGAAAACAGATGTATTCACATTGGCGGACCACAAAGTTCTTCCATTTCCGCCGTCTCTACAGTCGGTTAGGATAAACATTGTTGAATTATCGCCTCTGCTGTATACTAAAAGGACCCTGCCGCGGTTCATATATATCCCGGACAATTCCTCGCGGGGAATAGAGACATGGATATCTTGTCCATTGATTAGGTTCCGTACAGTGATTCGGACCGACATTAGGTTATCTTCGGCGTACGCCGTCAAAAAATAACCCTCATCGGAATCTGTGTCTACCAGTCGGAACCCATCTGGCGGAAAAATCTCCGGTGCTGCATAGCTATCCATGTGTGGTGGGGCCGGAAAAGCCACCTCCCAATTCAGTGACCATTTGCCCGTTTTCAGCCGATGAAGGCGGCTGCAAACCGCGTTGAAATCATCGTATCGTTTTTTGCCCGTAGTCGCTGTTGTCGCGTCGTACGTCTCCTGCGCGAACGGGAAAAAGTGGCCGAGTAACGAAGCACATAAGGTCGGTTGCGAAAAGGCGGTGTTCCAGTCCCGGCAAACATGTCGTATAGAAGCGATATCGCGGAGCTGGAGCTGTCCTTTTATGACGATCGCCGCAAGGACGTTAAATGGGAGTGTGGGTAGCGACATATGGAAAGTTCGGGTTTAGGGTGGAGTGTTGAGGATGGAGGTGAGAGACATCATGTAATAACTCACCAACAGCCTGGAGCGATAGGATGTGGTGGTGGAAGTGGTGGTGGAAGTGGTGGTGGTGGTAGATAGGTGGGCAGTGGTGACGTCGGAGGAGGGGCCTTGATGTTGTAATTAAATACTTTCTGTCCTGCTGCGCTTTTTGCCAAAATCCTTTCCGTGTAAATCTACTTTATGGGCGTGTGCTTCTTGCTTGGGGTCCGAAAAAAAAATGACAGGAGAGCGAGGAGCGTGAACAAGACAGGAGAGAGAGAGAGAAAAAAAGTTGGACGTTCCCTGGGTATGTTACAAGGTTCTTCCCCACATTCATGCCCCCCGCTGCTGCTTGCTATATGCTGTTGGCTGGCTAATTCGACACGTAAGGTTGACAGCAGTTCTTGTGTTGCGCGATATCCTGATATCTAGGGGAGGAAAGAGTATGTATTATGGGAAAGGAGCGTGTGAAGAAGAAGGTTGAACAGAGAAGTAAGCTGTAAGATAGCTAAGAAAGAAAGGAAGAGAGGAACAGCAGCACAACGGTAAAAAAAAAAAAAAAAAAAAAAAAAAAGGTACAAGGAAGAAGGAGTTCATTTGTTGTAACTCATTGCTGTTATGGAAAGAACGGCCCTTAGTAAGTGCAGTAGTTACACCTCTTTAGGCGTCTAAGGTGCTAATTAGCTACATACTGAGGATGAAGTCACCTCGCTGATGCAATTTCGCTTGTCAGGCACAGCAGCATGGGTTGTCCCGTGCGCGCATGTCTATCGATACCCGATAAAGGGAATGGCAAAACATGAAGGCAAGCCACGTTATCATAAAGAGATTGACAGCGGGGAGAGTGAGGTGAGGGTGAGTCTTGTCTGTGCGAGGTATTTTCCTCTTACTAGGCAGTCGCAGAGACAGCCAATGGTCTGGGAAAATGGCAACGGTAAAGCCTGCAGCTACATCTAGAGTTGGGAACTGGGGAGCTCGATTGGTCTTTATCATATGTTAAACCGCTCGTGGGATGCTGCGCGATCTTTCATTATGCAGGGCTCTACTCTAGCTCTGCGTAACCTTTTATGATCATCTACCTATTCTTTGAGATTTAGAGTACTTGCATGGAAACTACATATGTAGACAATAGGACCCTTTCCTCATGATCGAGATTCATGTGAATATCCTCTCTTGTCTCAATTTTAGGCCGTTATACCTACTCCACCAGCAGAGTTCCGCAGCAGTATTCAACTCTACCTGGAGATTTTCCGCCAGCTCAGCTTGAGATATAGAGCACTAGCTGGACCAGCTAGTTACCAGCAAGTTTTCGAGACCCGAATGTTCCTGTTAAGTACCCAGACTCGGAAAGAGACAAAACTACCTAACCGAGTCATACTCTATGATCAGTATCAAAATCAAACTCTGTACCGAATCTTCTAGGAAACAGTGAATTCTAGCTATGGATTATTCCACTATTTTCCGGCCAGTGCTTGGTCGCTGCACTAAGCTTATATTGGCAATTTTATATCATTCGACAGGCGACCCTCGAGCTCTGTCTCCGACATTTGGGGAATACATGTATGTACGGAAGATATGTGATCAGCATCCAGGTGGTTAAGTGTTAGCAACGTTCGAGGAAATAGGCAGAAACAAAAACAAATACGGCCGATCGATATCTCTGAGACACTTCTAAGGCCGAAGTGCACGATGAAGATGTTCAAAACTGTACCCTATCGGAGAATTTTCCGCTTTCGCTCTCGAACGGGAATAGTGAATGTCTTGATAATGAGTGCCAGAGTTAACATGTGGCAGCAAAGCTGTTGGTACCTACTCTATGTGATAGGTATCGCGGAATTGCGCGACAACGTGGTTTTGGATCCCTACAAATGCATGGTGCCGCAGGTACCTTCCGAGATGCCTTCGGGATTCTTTGAGACATTGGGCGCCTCTTCAGCCCTCAAGTGAAAGACCATTGGGGTTTCCGGAGAAAGTGGAGATACCGATTCTGAGGCCTTTTCTTCCTTAATTCAAACTTTTAATTTCACTTGTGTGCCATCTAGAACATGCTTCTCCAAACCGATAAAGACAAAAAAGTAATACAAAAAACTACAGCCGTGTTCCAAAACGAAGATAAGAAATGTAGGATACAACCCTTGTACAAAACACATCGCCCCTCCCGCTCTTTCTAACTCCCAGCACCCCTCGCTGCCCCACAAATAGAACAAAAAAGCAGAAAGTCAAAAACTAAAAGTTATATTCAAACAAAGCAGCGTTTTTATTAAACAGCTTTCTTCAGCGGTCTCCTCACATATTCGAACAACGCCAGTCAAGATCTATTCCGAAGTCTCTCTCTTTACCCTCCTTCTGCCCTCAGTATCTAGCGACTGCAAGCTGATAGCATCATCATCATCATCATAGCCCCTGGTCTTGTTCGTTCGGCCAGCAAAAGCGGCGTTGCCGTTGTCACTGAGGAACTCTCGTAGGCGTTGCTGTTTCGATTTAGTTAGCGTATATTTTCATGTAGTTGTGGGAGTATGGGACGAGTGAACAAACCTTTCCGATATCTACGGCCTGCTGGCTCATAGCATTACTAACTTGATAGATTGGTCCCCACAGGTTTGTCCTATACACGACATAAACCACAAAGCAACACAACAACAAGAAAGCGAAGTACACTGGGCTCCTCAACACGGCCCAGATTTCGTTCCACCCAAGCGCGAGCACCAATCCCCACATGAACATCGGGATCTGGGCCACACCATTGATAGTGCTGCGCTTCGCCTCTACAAAAACCGCATCGGCCATACGCTTGAATCTTTGATGGAGATCAATCCGTTTTGATTCGGAAATAACCTCAAATTCGTCTTTAGAAGGTCCAAGCTCTTCAAGGTCTTCTTCATAGTCTGCAGGTGCATCGCCGAGGAATTCATCTAGTGGAGGCTGTTGTCCATTCGATAGGCGCATCTCAGAAACGAGCGGAATAAGCTTCAGGGTAGCGTCAAGGGCCTTTGTGTAGGAGCCTTCGATATCATCGGTCGGCTTCCAGACGCGGGGAACACCTGTTTCATCGTATCTGAAACGGTCTTCGAATCTGTTAATTATTAGCAATTGTGCGAAAAACAATATAAAAACAAGCGTGAGACACACTTCTCGCGAAGCTTCAACAAAAGGTTTCCCTCATGAACTTCTTCGTCAATCTTAGCCTTTAACACTCCCCAAGCCTTCTTCTTCAACTTCCAAGCACCGACGTCTCTTTCCTTCTCGCTAGCATTAAAGCTAGTCGCCCGACTCAAAAAGGTGTCAACTCCGTCGCCTACAACACCAACCCACACGTTCCAAACACGGTCCCAAAGGCCCCCCTTCTCCTTAGTGTTGTCTTCCATCCGCCTGAACTCAAGCTCGATCGGCTCGATGAGTTTTACCTTGATGGCTTTCTCAAGCCTGGACACAAGTCGCTTCATTTCTTCTCCTCGTAAGCGTCCTGCAACTGCATCGAGGTCTTTTTGCAAACCCTCGAGCTCTTTTTCGTAACTAGACCACTCAGCGGTCGGTCCAGCGATGTAGCATTCGGATGCCTCTGTAATGAAAGCATTTACCACCTTACTCCTTGTTTCATCCACAACGGTGGCAAAATCGTAAGATGCAGTTCCGGCGTGAGCAGTTGAGTTTGCTTTCTTAAGGATGGCAGTGATCTCCTCGGTAAATTCTGCGAGCCCTCTCTTAGAAAGTGCGGTGAACTGGTTGATAACCAACACTCTCAGGCGGCCCTCAAGACCTGCACGTAATTCATCCCTCTTTCGCCCAAAAACGCCCTTGTGATACCTCCCGCCGGCTTCTTCAAAGCCACCAACCGCTTCTCCGAGCGCTTTCTTCATCGCAGGACCAAGCCCGTCGAGTACTCCACCCTTCTTAGATAGCTCCTCGAATGGCTGGATAATCTCATTGAAACCGGCAACGCAAGACGCCGCAATCTCGTCACATCGGAACTGGGCAAGCAGTTCCTGTTGTGAGGGGAGATCCAGATCCTTATTTGAAACAATTTGCTCCCACACACCTTCAGCATAAAGCGGGAAACCATCTGCAGGTATCCGTCTATGGTAGGCTGGAAGGAAAACACCGTTATTGTTATCATCGATAGGTGAACCGTCGCTCAGCACCTGTACATCTACACCTTCTCGGAACTTTGTTCTTAAAGCTTTTGTCTCTTCCAAGAACTTTTCAGGCTGAAGAATCTTGTGCGGGAGCGCAGCGAATTGGAAATCGAAGAAATCTGTAATTTCAGATTCTTCCATACCAGCGGGTTTGGAAAGAGATGACCAGATCTTATTAAGATCTGCCATGAGAGTGGATTTAAGACCCTCAAGAGGCGTATGACCGATGTGGTCACGAATCACAAAGAAAAGGAGTGATCGGTGGGTGGTACTGTATTAATATCAGCACACTGTAAAACCAAAACAAGATCAAGAAAAAGCACCTTTTGTCCTTCAAAAACAAACCCAGATTAACCTCAAATACAGTCTTCAATAAACCCATATTGGCCCCTTGATAGAGACCAACCTGGTGCTCCCAGATGTTGACAATCTATTTGTCCATAAATATTAGCCGTGGTGCCCAAAACTCAGCGAGCAAGCATGTTTTTCCCCCGTAGTGCTCATTATAACCCAACAACCAATCAGCGAAAGATGCGCAACCCACCAAAACCTCACTGGTAGCCAGTGCAAATAAGGCACTTTTCCTTTCAAAGTCCTGGTCCTCTCCTCTCTCGCGACCATCGGTTCCCTCTACATCCATAACCAAAATGTTGTTTGTCATACCCCCTTCTCTATTGGCGACTAGCTGCTCATGATCCTGCTCGTCAAGAGCCCTCGACATCCAAATTCCCTTGGTCGTCTGTCTGCGAGCAGCCTCGTCCATAACCGAGAACTGGGTTCCGAAGAGATGGTTGAGAAGGGTCGATTTTCCTGTTGACTGGGATCCAAATACAGCGACAACATGGTAGTTGAATCCCGTGCTGATCAAGTTCTGAATAGCGAGGTATGTGGGGAGGTTCGGTCTAAGGAAAAGGAGCGTTAGAATAAGCTTTCCAGGGGATAAATACGCAGAGAAAAAAAGGGGACACGGTGTGAAATGAAAAGGTGATCAACGCAGGGACGCATACGTAAACTCCTTGTTCTCATCAATAACCTGAACGCCTTTCTCGTAAGTCTTGTAGTCTTCATCGCTGATATTCATTTTTGACCCTAAGTGGCCGTTGGCCCCGCTGGTCCCGTTCATCCCGCCTCCACCGTTCGTGACGGACATTCTCTCGGGCGTGTGAGCTTGTGAGCGTTGAATATTATTGATTAAGGATATAGTCAATTACAAGGCTGAGGTTGAGGGGATAGAGAACAGTGGAAACTGTGAAAGGGGCAGTATTAGGGCCTAGGGGGTGAAGTGGTGACAGAGAAGAGAGAGAGAGAGGGATGTCAAAGCTGGAGGGCGATCTTGTAATTGTAGGTGTAGGGGATGGACAATCCAAGCTTCCGGGGACATCTGGTCTTTGCGTTCTGGGTGGAAGCCACACCACATGACTGAGCCCCATCATGTGGCTTGATCATATTTGCGTCACCATACCCGAAGACAACCACAGACGTGTCGAAGAGCATGGATGAACCCTAGCAGCATCAAATTCATCTTTCTTCCATCCATCCCACCGTCCCTTCCATCCGCAGCAAAACTCTTGGGTCCACGTATCATATGTTATCGTTCGTTGAAGCCCATATGCACCGAAGCCGCTGCACTCCCCTTTATTCTTCATCCTCCAATCTCGATCAAGAAAGTGACAACGTATCATGACGATCATCCACCAACTGGAATACCAGATGCCTGTCACAGCAAAGACAAACATCCGCGCCCGGGAAAAAACCTACCTATCGAGAGTAAGAATGGCGGATGGTGCACCTCCCCTGATCCAGGTTTAACCTTGAGCACATGTCGGCAGGCAGAGCAGAGTAGATGAGTACATAATAATGTATGCATCATGAATTGCCTTCTTTAGCTACTCAGCCTGTTACCTCGGAGCTACTACAGATAATTTCTACAGTATTCAGCCGTAACGGTAGAGCTGAGGGTGCTCGACTTCTGGCCTTTGAGGGGTCGCCTTTAGGATTCTAAATCTGTCTGAAAATGCCTTCTGGAATTTTCGCCCCTAACTAGTCTGAATTGATGCATGGACGTTTGTTCTAGCATGTGCCGTACAGCGGCATAAAGCAATGGATGTACCTGCTTTGTCCCAAGCATAAGAAAAACGAACACCAATAATATCAAAGTGTTACTTGCATCAAGGGATGAAATTTTGACCTCATCTACTTTTTTGAAATTCCGAATTGGTCCTCACCTGTATGAAACCCAATGAACCAAGAGGCAATTGCAACAGGCCACGACCTACATACATTAACTTAAGAACCAACACATACTAGCTTTATCGGTTGTCACAGTGAGATACAGCTTAGAGGCTTATACGGAATTTGACAATCTTTCTGGGCTTTAAGATGGAGATTTGGGACGGCCCCGAGTGATATCCGGTGTCTCACTCGCCGTATGTGTTACAAAATTTCATCCAGTAGTAATCACCACAGGACGGGCAACATGCAGCAAGAGCTGGATAAAGAATCCGATTATGCTAGGAAGTAGCCGTTCTTCATTTTTCCGTGGCCAACATTCAAAAATCTTGAATTTTGGATCTATGTTTTAGCCTGCCTAGTGCGTTATCGTGCCAAGACACACACAATTTCAAAATTCGGTTACATGGTCAATTGATCTCGCTGCAAACAGTACATTCACAGCCTAAAATGGCTATGCTCCTCGGGTGCCAGGAGTTTTCTGAGTTGTCATTTTTTATGTTCCAGGTTTTTGACCGGTGATGGTGCGTGATAAGCACTGATCCAACAGGCATAAAATGCTCGCTCGAGCATGACAGGTGGTTCTATGAAGAGCGAGCTCGGGCGTGGCTCGACCGCTACAAATCTTAAATAATCTGTTTTTGCGGCTACGACTTTATTATTAACAGCCTCAACTGATATTACTCCCACAGACCCATGTCTTAGTATGTTGTATTTATTACGCTCGAACCCGCACAGGAATGCTCGACTTTAGAGCACTGAAGGCAGCGCTCAATTGCTCGAGCATAAATCAAAAGCTGCATACAGTCAGGGTGTACTGATGCGACCCAGGAGGCCTTATTATCACTCTCGGCCACCTCCGCTCACTCAATTAATCAAGAGCCAACTATCACAGCATCTTCTTGGAGTTATAAAGAGGGCGTCCCGAGGCCTTCTAGGCGCTCAGACCATTATGCGGCCCCTCCAAAGTCAGTGGCACCAGCAGAAGAAATCTAATATTACGATACCACGTTTTTTGACACGTACACAAAACATAACTCATCTTCACATGCTTTTATCTATAAATTTAATTCTACCTAGGATGATAATAATTCTCGGTAATCGGCGGAATGGGGAAAGAGAAAGTGGGGCAGCATGGGCACCTCGTTCGGTATAAATCCTTCTGTGGTTTAAGTTCCAAAGTCTTAGGTACTGGATAAAAAATATGAAGGTAGGCGTTTCTAAGCTACGCACCCCTCATCGTGGGTGGTGATGCATGCTATGGCGGCAAACTCTTTGGAGTCACATATGCCCACATGACTTCCTTAGTAATTGACAAAGAATGGTACTGTGAGGAAATAATCGAAGTAAATAATAACCGGGAACTCATGCATGATAAAGGAACATCCTTATCTTAAGGATGGGTGTGTGGGGTCACAGTTGATCACTCGGCGATACTTCAGTGGTAGTTACAGGATAAATATGATAGAATTGGCGACTTTGGGGTTAACTTTATTTACTACGCCTGACACAGCCTCAGTGTTCTTTTTGGGTAGAAAGGTTCAAAAAAGTGTTTTGATATATTGGAGCGTACTTGGGGCGGTCCTACGGTAGATCGTTCCAGGGAAAGGTTTTAGGGTCTGTTCTGACGCCTATGGACGTCAATATCATGGCATTCACCCCAAACAGGAAGGTGTGTAAATCAGCGTAGTATTTGAGTATTTCAGTACTTAGATGGCCTGAAAACCCTACAAGATACCACGGCTCTAACAAATACCTCTAGGTATTTAGTTCTTGTGGTTTCCGATGTCTATATTCATGCTTCTACCCAGTAATATTTTAACTCCATCTGAACGCTCTTGTTTTTGGGCATTACTCAGGCTTAGCTCAGAGTACATTACCAGGCAGCCAGATTTACCACGTCCGTTCGAACAGAGATAGCTCTTGTTACCTGGGGGGAGATCACCAGTTCATTAATGGGAATTCTTAATATAGCTAACTTGATAGTACCAAGCTCATCGATCAATGAGTCCAACCGCTTAGTGGACCATACTGGTATTGAGCTCATGAGAAATATCTTGGCTAATCAGCTTCCCCAGGTAGAATAGAGAGCCAGTTATAACCTAAAACTAAGTCCTGATACGAATCCGGAATTTGGTGTTTGAGCGCCTACAGAAATTTGAAAACCCTTGAACGCCTCCACAACATTGAACTCCGTCCCGCCCTGTCTATTTTATTTTATTTTGAAATAATAAGGAAAAGGAAATAAGATATCAAAAAACAGCATAGGGAAACCTATAAAAAGATACGCGAAGTAGGAACAGTAGACGCCAGCTAATCCATCAAATACTCCAATACAAAGCTAGTACCACGGTGGCACCACTTAAACCACACACCTTGGCGACAAAGAGAAGTAGGCATATACTGCCGTAAAAAGCCAATATCTAGCCTAGAAACTCATTTCTTAGGGAATTTGGGCTCGTGTTTCGCCTGCGAATTACCTCTTGGGGAGAAAATTCCAGCCGGAATCGCCGATTTCTCTCCCGCTGTGCCTCTTCCCATTCGATCACCTGTTGCTCAGGTGCCCAAAACGTCTCAGAGGGCGGAGCCCTTACAGTCCCAGATTTATTCCACCAATCATATTCTACATCATCTGAAGAACGAGTGATGGACTGTAGTTTATTTTCCGTCGCAGAATGGGAGCTGGGTGCCGCTTGATGAGTCTGGCCGAGGGAACTTTCCGATACTGGCTGTAGCCCGGAGAAAACCGCCTCGAGGTTAGGTGTGGCAGAGAGTTGTTGATAAGAGAGAGAATTGGGGACTGAAAATGGTGGTGTTGAAGAGCAAATTGCACGGAGATGGGGGAGACAAGATGCACCTTCGCCGTGCCTCTCGGGCCTTGTCTCTACCGCGAACTCCCATCTCTCGCGCTCACGGCATATGGAAAAATAATTCGACGGTCCTTGAGTGGTTGTGCTAGGAAGTTGGAACGGGTACGGCTTGTGGAAGAAGCTTCCAATGCGCGGATAAACAGTATGGCCGTTTGGCTGATCAGTATGGACAGGGAACGCCCGCGAACCCTTAGGACTCGATACAAGAGTATTGTGATGACTATGCCCGGATTCAGATTCGAGTTCCGTCGAGGGTCTCGGCTGGGGATCCGGCTCTTGAGGATTTAAGAATAAGTTTGGAACCGAGAAAAACGGCGCTGATCTAGCCATTGCGCGGTGTAGTCGCCCATCGGAGCGTTTACACCGACATTCTTCCCGCCTTCTGACCTCACCAGAGTAGTAGCAGTAAATCTCCTTAAACCTTTACACACAGTCACAATGTCAGCTCTCTATATCGATCTATATATAGTTATGATACCCAAGAGAATGTAAACGTTTTTTAATACACACCCGCAAATCATGTGCCGGCAGCCAGCGCTAATATTCTCAACAATTGTTCCACAGTCCCTACATCTCTGCCATCCTGGGTTCACCTCAAGAAACGGCCTTTCCGACGCCAGGAGCGAAACCCGATCAGTGTTGGTCTCTAGCTGAGCTGGGTGCTTACATGACCAGCACGTAATCTCACCACACTGGCACCTGACCGCATTGCGTCTGCCCTCACGACTGCCTAGATATATACCACAGCCCCTTCTGCTACAGTATAATCTATTCGCGGGCGACGTTGATAACTCCATCGACTTTTCGCAGTACAAGTTGAACTCGTATGAGCTAAGAAAGCTTATGGATATGGCAGTGGAGAGGAATGGGACACCGCAACAGCCGGCGGGCCAGTTGTTTTTGTTCGAGATTGCTTTCCTGTAGAGGTCCTTGATACAATCAGTGCAGTGCTTGTGCTTTGCGGGGCAATGGGCGGTGTACAGCACGTAGTTGATTCGATCACTAGGGCAAGTGCAGCAAACAGGTACATTAGGTCCTGGGGGTAGTACGAGCCGGTATAGTATAACGGAATTGTCAGTTGGGGTTGGAAACTCGGGCCAAAACTTTGGTTGTGATGGGTTCCAGTTATCTGTCATTTGTGGAGTGTAGCTGAGGATTTCTGGAAGGTATAATATCACTGGAAGGGAGAGTTGATCTTATAAAGCCGACCTCATGAAGTGTCTTATGGCTTTATAGAACTCAGGACCGTGGTGTGGCATGACGTATACGGATTCTGGTTTCTATTGCGCGGTCATATCTAGAAAACGGGTTAATTCGCAATGTATGACGCTAATGGTTTGGTTAGTTTGTCGAAATGTCTTGCTGTCGGTTGCGGTTGGACTAGACCGGAATGGCTGAGTAGACTACATATTGACGACAGAATTGGGGCCTCGTTAACGGAGCTCGAGACGACAAACCGCCTCCCTATAGATCCCCTTAAGCTCTGTGAGTGATCAATTATGATTCACGCCTTCTATGTACTGACATCATTCCGCTTGACTAGTCTCTAAAGCCCTGGACAGTATTATATAATATCGATCAGCCTTTGATTAGGGCTAGGTCTCATTGTTATAAACTGCACTACCGGGGAACTGTGGTAATTCACCCTAGAAAATTTCAATACCCTTGTATAGTTTCTAGTACGATCACACCCATATTCCCGGGCGTTGATTGGTCTTTAGGCTTCGTGGGATTTGGCCCCGGGATGCCTCGAGACAAACCAGCTATTGAAATAGTGGCAACTCTGTCGGATGAGCCCTTGGACTCTCACCCCTCTTCTCGATCATGGCCTATTGTGACCATAGACGCAGCGCAACTGCAACTGGAAAAAAAACGACCAGCCAAAGCATCTGGAGTATGCTTCTAGGTCAACAATTCGGGTGTATAAAAAGACTATATCTCCGGGGTTTACGTACTTCTCTTTTGAAGCATCTCGCCGTAGCTGGGTCCGTTGGATCAGAGAAGCCATACACTAGCTACTACGTAGCCAGTGAGTGTTTTGCTGGGGCGACGGTAAGTATGTCATATCTCGTCGAACCTAGATACACCGGTAACCATTCTTCTTGAATATCTGCCCATGGAGTCAAATTACTACTATCGTCAAGAACGGGGGAGGGGGGATAGCAGACGTATTGAAAGTGGCAATTTATATTCCATCGCGGGGTTTGCACAACAAGTGTCGTTGTTGTATGACGGGATGGCCGGAGATCTATGTGTTGACTTGAGAATCGCGAGGCTTCGGGGTTGGCTTCTTGATTATTGGGGCTTGGCAACGGTCGGTATAAAAACATGTCGGTTTGATGCTTTCCAGTTTTGGCGGTTGCCGCGCCGGTGGCAGAAAATGATAATTTTGGGTCGCAGGTGGATTCTTTTCGGCTTTGACGGTTAAAACCGGTCGATTATACTCCACTGGGGAAGTCTTGTTTCTGCATAGATCTGTCCCTATTAGAGTGTTTATCCCCTAGGGTTAACTACATACAAAAACAGAAAGAAGAAGAAAAATATCCACAGCTCCACAAAGAAGAATAACCCTGGCCTACCACCCATCACCCACCCGTATAGTTTGGCCGCGCTGGCCACAAGTCCTCCCATCCCGCTATTACCAAAAGCATGGGGACGGTAGGGAGAAGAGTGATGGCTCCTAATTTAAAAACCAGGGACTTGAAGAAGTTGGAGGAGGTGTGCATGTTGCATGCTGGGAATTTAAGTAGCAGTATGGAGATTTTGCAAAATTTATAGTAAACGACACCGTGCCAAGACCAGCGGAATCCTGTCCACTACTAGAATAGGTACATGTAGTAAGTACAGTGGAGTCGTAATAGTAGCATACATATCCTCGATAGTAGCATGTCATTCGTCAATTGGCAAACCCTGAATTAACGAGTGGGTACGGGCACGTTTTTCTCGATCTTGCACATGTAGGGTCAGTTCCACTATGCTAACTATCTCGACTCCACTGTAGCTAGCTGTCGCATAGGGTCCTCCCCGAATATATGCTATGTACTATCGAGACTCCACAGTAGAGTAGAACTTGTTATCTCGCGCTTCAGTCTAGGGCGTTTTGCATGTATGTACCTGCTGTTCAACAGGGCACGAGCCGGTCGAGCTTTGGGAATGGGCACAAGACAAAGAGTCTCGAGACCTTGTCCCGAGATACGAGACAACACAAAACATAGCCAGAAAGAGAGAAGACAAAAACAAAACAGAAAAAGGTGTAGTCTCGAAACTTACGAGTGATCACCCATGATCTCCATATCAACTTGTTTCCCCCCACCCCCCCCAAAAAAAAACAGTCTGTGTAAAAAGGTATCAATATTGTGAGGTAAACTGGTGTGGAGGCTTGGCCAGGTGGCCCCTAACCCTAAGTTTCGAGACTTTGCACAATGCATGGCTCAAGTATTGCCAATTCTGAGATTACAATGTACCTTGTATAATCTGCGAAAAAAAAAAGACGAAACGTATTCACTCAAGTATTGTCTTGTTTTGTCTTGTTTTGTCCTATTTGGGATCGAACACCACAACCTCAAGCTCCCTCTTTCCCATGCGCGAAGATCGAGCTTTTTGAGGGGTTGATGGCAGAAATGGGATAATATAACTACTTAAACTACATAGGTAAGTAAGATAAAAAAAACCCTCCCAGTTTCGTCCTTAAAAGTGGAAAGGTATATACTTAGTAATATGAGATGACCTTTTTTTTTTTTAGCTACTAGCTTTAGTGAGAACTTCCCGAGCCTTGGTTCGCGCAGCGCAGTCTGAGACAGCTCGGGCTCTAGGTCAGGCTCGTCTAGGTCTTGGACGGGTTCGTGCCTGGTATTATGTGTATGTTTTTGGTAACTTGAGGGTGGGACTACCACGCACGACTGTGTTCTAAAGCTCGACTTTGAATAAATTGGATCAAAGCCGCTAATTATAAGCTAATTAGAAATGCCATTGCTATTGCTATTACTATCACTATTACTATCATCACTCACAACCAACAACCAACAACCAACAACCAACAACCAACAACCAACAACCATTACATCAGACATTACACATTAGATATTATAGAAAGAAAGAGAGCGAGAGTAAAAAGAGCTGTAAAATTCTAATTTGCTACTACTACTATTGGGGCATAAAAAGTAGAAATTCTTCATTGAAAAGAAAAGAAAAAAAGAGAAAGGGGGCGAGGGGTAAGTAGTTAGTTACTCTAATTTCCAGCAATTGCTTCATTCACTCAGGCAGTAGTTAGCTAGCTAGGTGCCTACTTATACCGGGGGTTCTTCTCGCTGCTCTCTAGGGCGGAACTAGAGGAGGCAAGACAGGATAAGACAAGGAAGGGAGAAAGAAAAAAGAAAAGACAATGGAAGAGAACCACAAGAAACCATCCTCACTCTCGCTAACCATCCTCATCACCTCTAATCACCCTCACCACCCTTCACCACACCTAAAGTACAATATCCTCCACCTCCCCCTCCTCCCCCTCCTCCCCTTCACCCCCCTCACCCCCCATCCCGACCTGCACCAACCCCCCCGGAAACTCCCCCCTCCCCCTCTCCATCCTCTGCACCATCTCCGCCACTCCCTCGCCCATATCCACCAACACCCCCCCACCCTCCTCATCCTCCTCCTCCACCACCCTCGCCAACCTCTCCTTCTCCCTCTCTTTCACCCTCTCCTTCTCCCTCTCCGCCTCCACCCTCTCCCTCTCCCACTCCGCCTCCTTCTCCGCCCTCTCCCGCTCCAAAAACCCAGCGCTGTACCCAAACTTCCACCGCGCCGCATGCTGTATCAGCAGCCGCAACGACCCGCGGATCGCGTCCTCGGTGATCAGGTAGTGGCACACACTACACAGCGCCAGCCCGCAGCTGTCGCACGTGTAGTGCGTCACCGCCGTCGTCACGTCGCACGCAAGACACGTCCCAGGCGCGGCATGCTCCGTGAAGTGCGTGTGCGGGAGCTTGTGCAGGTAGTCCTTGTAGAGGTGGGAGGTGGGAGTTGGCCGCGGCGTGGGTGCGGCGTGGGTGGGGAGTATGGTGGTGGGTGGGAGCGGCTTGCGCCGGATTAGCAGGTGGCGGATGGGGGATGGGGGGAGCGGGAGCGGGCGGATGCGCGGGGTGCTGGCGGGGGTGGGGGGGCGCTCGATGGTGGGTGGTGGGCTGGGGGCGGACTCGCGGGTGGAGTGGTTGGAGGGGGTGAGGGGCTGGACCATGTCGGTGGGGATGAGCTCGACGTTTTGGTACGGGGCTGGAGTGACATCTTCTTGGTGCTCGGTCTGTGCCTCGCCGGTGGTGGGGCTGTTTATGTTTCCTAGCTCAACGCCGGTCATGGAGTCGGACAGATGGATGAGGGAGCCCAGGTACGGCTGCAGCAGGTCGGGGTCAATTGGGATGCCCGGCGGGAGACGGAGCGGTGCAGGAGGGTGTTGGAGAGATGGGTCGTCGACTGGGGCAGCGGGGGGTGGTGGTGGGGGAGAAGACATTCTTCGGTGTTCGTTGTGGTGGTGTTTCTAGCAGCAGCAGTGATGATGTTGATGTTTTTTGAGATGCTGGGAGGTTGGATGAGATGATGGGAGTTGGCTAGTGATGGAGGTGAGGTTGGGGACTTTGTGGTGGGTGGGTGGAGGTAGCGTTTGGGGACAGCGGAATAGAATGGCGGTGGGCGAGTGATGGGCTGTGATTCTCGGGCGGTGGTTGCACAGAGAGAGGTTTGCGGTTTGCTGTGCTTTGGAGCAGGGTTTTGTCCCTTGGATGAGGATGGTGGGGGTGGTGATGGTGGTGGTGGTGGTGGTGGTGATGATGATGATGATGATGGTGGTGGTGGTGGTGGTGGTGGTGGTGGTGGTGATGATGATAAGAGGAGGAGTGATGGAAGAGATCTGTCTCGATGTGTCTCTGCTGGTTGTGTGGCTAATCAATATACATACGTGTGGATGTGAAACACACCATCCGCGTGTCACTCTGGGTTTTAGGTGTCACTAGCGGTGGCATTATATAAGACACAGAAGAGAAGACGTTGGTTGAGTCTGGCTGAATCTTCGAGCCTGGCTGGGTCTTCGGACCTGCGCAGAACTGGGCTCAGGCAGGTGGGTGCCTATCGATCTATCAGGATCGTGCTAGCTAGACCCTTAAGCTTCTTTCCATAGACTAAACTAAATGATAGCAGCAGTGCAGAAGCCATGACGATCAATTGAGCCGTGTGTCTTTACAGTCTTTGCTATCTGTTATTAGTACTGTGTCAAGATAACGAGTTTGGTGGTCTTGATGATACGTATTTATCACGAATCAGCTATAAAAAAAGCCTGTTCCTTCTTCTCTCGTTACTTCTCTAATTCAATCATACTACTCGATCCTCTTCAGTCTCTGATAAAGCCGTGACCTAGTATAACATATTCTACTAATTGCTATAGACAGCCAAAGGCCATTCCCCGCCATAACACCATTACCAAAGCATACAAAAGTTTCCTCAAAGCCCACCCCCCCAAATTGCAAAAACACCAATAGGAAAAACCCATACAAGACCCAATCCCTCAAAGATACACCCAAGCCCCCAAAGATACACCCAATCCCTCAAAGACTACCCTTCGCTAACCACATCAATAGGAAAAAAATAAAGCATATACAGAAAAACCTTATCAAAAACCCAATCCCTCCAGATTGATACTCACCAATACCCCGCTCCCCACATCGGAAATCACAACGAGAAGTGCCTCTTGATGAAACCTTTGCGCCCATTTGTAGCCCTGGCGGCACGCTCGTCCCTGACAGCACGCTCCATGTTGACGATGGCGAATATGACTGCCACAGCCACATCGATAGTCTCCAGCACGATCGTCTTCTGGATCCACATCTGCCCTGCTCCCAGTTCAATTGCCGCAACCGGCTCAGGATAGTCCGAGTTATAGAGCTACCATGACCATTAGCCAGCCAGCCCCAAACACACACACACACACACAGAGAGAGAGAGAGAAAGCAAACACCGAAGGCCACCCATACCTTGATAACCGTGCAGTTCAACTCATCGACCCCCGACGCAGTGGATGAACGCTTACTATCCTTACTATCATCCACGCCTGCGCTCGCACACCCCACCGCCTCTGCCTCTGCCAGCTCCCTCTCCCTCCTCCTCGCCGCGCTCTCCCCCGACCCGCGGTAGCCCTCGCGCCACTCCGTCGTGCCGTCGGGGTCGTACACGCAGCTCCACGAGGACCCCTCCCAGACCCACCAGTACTTCCGGCGTCTATTCGCGCTCTTCGAGTAGTGCAGGATCACCCCGGGTTCACCGCTGATCTCCTGCCCGGCCATGTACAACGCCGGGGCGACAACGCTCCTATCCCCCCCATCCGGAGTGGTAGAGGAAAAGCGGGCCTTGCTGACGGCGCGGACACGCGGAGCAGCGTAGATCCGCGCAGCAATAGTATCTTCCCCCAGCGCTCTTGTGACCTTAGTTGCACAAGCCTTAAGCCCCAACTTCTGGCGGAGCGTCTTCTCGGACGCAGGCACGGCATCAGAGTCACCGGCGTTCTCGGCGGGGCCGAAGATGAGGCGCCATTCGGCATACTCTTCGAGGAAGCGGACGCAGGTCGTGGTCGTGCTCTGGCGGGTTGTGAAGTCTTTGCGGTCCAGGAAGTACTGTAGCATGGACGGACGGTCAGGCGCCGGTTTGTCGCTGCCGGCGTGGTTGGTGCTGATCGATTGCAGCGCCGACACCTTGGGCATAGGCAGCTTTGGGAGGGTGTGGTCTGCCGGGTGAGGCGCTGGGTAGTGGAGGTAGAGCGGCGAGAGAGGGGAGGGGCCCAGACCCCAGGCGGGGGTGGGGCTGTTGGTGCTGCGAGTCATTTTTGGTGATTAGCCTTTTTTTTTAAAAAAAAAAAAATACTCATATTATATATTAAGCTGTGAAGCTTACGTGTAGACATTGAGGACAATAAGATCATCGACATCACGCCGCCGCGGGTAGTGCGTCTTTATGTCTGAGTAGTCCCTGTTGGTGTTGGCAACCATGTCTTCCTGCATTTTCTGGAACGACGAGGACCAGTAGAGCTTCTTGTGCGCGATGGCCGGGTTCATGTCGACCAGTGGATGGGTGAGGGGGGCGTGTATACGCTCGACGGCTCTGTAGGCGGCGGCCATCACTCTGGTTATTGGTGGTTGTGAGTTTTCAATGAATGGATGGATGGAATTGATGGATAGAGGTGGGGAGATAAGCGGTCGAGATCGAGGTCGAGGTCTAGGGAGGGAGGCGGAGGTGTGGATGGGAATTGTCGAATTCTACAGTGGGCATACGAGGGTGCGGAGAATTGGCGGGGATGTCAAAAACCTCATGACTGCTTGTGTGGAAACGCCCCGGTTCTTGGGGAGATAGTATTCATCTAGCTGATATTGGTTTTGGTTCTGTGGTTGGGCGTGGGTGGCTCGTTGTGGAAGCTTCTGTTGGGTGGGTGCTGAATACATTCGTGCGGCCGGTTACATGTAGTTGTGAAAAAGCCAGAAACTCGTTTTTGGGGAGGGCTTTCTCACGGGTGTTTATTTGTGTTTGTGGTGGTGGATATGGGGAGTGGTGGTTATGTGCTGGAGTGCTAGCTAGTGTAGTGGGGGATTCGATGGGGTTATGAGGGGGGATATGAGTACTTTTCGTCTTGAAGTGGGTATTACATGTACATGTAGTATTGAGTCATCAATTTAATGGGGTGTAGCACATGTAGAGTATTGAATTCCGAGCGTTACATTGGAGTCTCTGGCTACCTTTAATCTCATCTACGCTGCACTACATGTAGCTCTTGGTTGTTTTTGTTTGCCATCTACATGTAGTTGAAGGGTTGCGTATCGTACCATACTAAGTCACTCACTCATATAATAGTTTATACATGTAGCTAGCAACGAGTGCTGCTACCAGCCGCTTGAAATTATTTTTATCCAACCTTGAACATCATAGTTTGATTCCTTTAAATGTTGTTAATATTACATATTAGTAGCTGGTGAAATCGTAGCTGTAATACTACATGTAGTATTCTTGATAGGGATTGGTGGACCCCGCTAATGGATTGTACTTTTGCGCTAGTGGGCTGCGAGTGATGGGCTGTGATCATGTGAACCTCAACTGTTTAGGGGACTGTTACACTCGTATCAACACCACAGCGCGGGGTGGGGGGTGTCATCAATCACGAAAGCTATAATTATAAGCAACGCCCTCTTATCAAGTTCGACTATCCTAGTACTCTACGCTGTATGTGGGTTTTACATTCTCTTTCGCCTGTACGTCACACGGGGCGTCATTCTACTAGCGCCATCTAAGACATCTTTGTGTCACGAAGCTTGAATAGATATATCCTACTACATAGAATACCGACCCTTCAAAAATCCACTTCTACCCCACAAAGCTTCAGATCTTGCCCAACCCCGCATCCCTCACCACCACCGTCATAACCTGGTCCAGCGGCGTCGCCGTATACGTGTACGGCACACTCGTCAGACTCCCCACCTGCGTGATGTTTTTCGGATATCCGCCAAAGTCATTAACTACATACCACCCACACATTAATTAGCACGCACGCACGCACGCACCACCACCCCACCTCACCTCACCAAATTGGGGGCAGATATTTCACATACACTGCTCATTCGCAAACCCATCCGGCTCATAATCGCCGTCCGGCGAGCTGTTCGGGCTATCCTGCGGGATGACCATTCCGTACGTCGAGATGCACTCGGTGACGTTGCGGAAGACGTTGTACTCGATGAGCGCCTGCGCGCCCGAGCGCGTGTGGATGGCCTGCGCGAAGATGTCCTTGTAGTAGTTGTTGTAGACGTGCGCGAAGCTGAAGCGCAGTGCGGGGGTCCGCGTGGAGAGGTTCTCCCAGAAGTTGTGGTGGTAGGTGATGTGGTAGGTTTCGCCGGTTGCGTCGGGGTTGCCGCCGACGAGGGAGGCCTGTGCGGGGGGGGGAGAGGGGGGTTAGTTGCCCGCTTGGGGGGTGGGGAGGGGGGTGGTAGATTTGGCGGCTGGGCGGGGGGAAGGGAGCTGGGAGGGCAGCTAGAAGGACAGAAGGGAAGGGAAGGAAGGGAAAACACGCACCTTGAAATGCGCATGAAAATAGTTATAACTCAGCGTCACATAATCACTACCACTCGTCACATCCACCAAGCCATCATAATAATCGAACCCATTCAACACATCACTAGAAAAGTCACAGTGATCAATCCACACATTCTTGCTCGACTTCACACTGATGCCGTCGTTGCCCACAATCTTCTTCGTGGCAATGTTGCGGATGATGACGTTTGAGACGCTGGACACGTCCAGGCCCTTGCCCGTGAGGATGGCGTTGGTCCCGATGCCGATTAGGGAGGTGTTTGAGCCGATTTGGGGCCGCGCGGTCAGCGTAATGGGGACGGAGAATTGCACGATTTTTTTGGTGTTGCCCTAGGGAGATGTGAGTATGTGTGAGTATGTGGAGGGGGGGTTTTTTTTTTATATTGGAGTGGCTAGCTATGGGAAGGCGGGGAGATAGACCTTGACGGCGGCAATGAGGGCGGCGGAGGTGGATACTGTGGTTACGGTGCCGCCGGTGCCGCCGGTGGTGCCGCCGTTGAGGGTTGAGTAGCCAACTTGGGGGAATAGTTCCTGGCCCTTTACGAAGCCCAGGGACGCAAGGGAGAGCAATTGGAGCGAGAGCGAAAAGAACTTCATCTTTTCAATCTTCAACTTGCGAATGAATATTCGAATTGAGTTTTTATCACTTCTACACTATCAACGGGGGGGCTAATATTGACCCCTTTATATAAAGACTGACGACTTTATTGTTCTTCGGGAAAGCACGCTTATGAATACGCCGAGAAAAACGGGGTTCACGGGAGAAAGCACCGGGAACGTTGCTACACAAGCTTCGTAGATCTCTCCAGGCCTGGGTTCTCGGGATATCGGTGGATTTATAACCCTGCGCTCACAGTGGTGGTGGTGGTACTACATGAAGATAAAATAACCGTGCAGCACGTTTTTCTATGTGTGAAACATTACCGGATCATCATGTCTAAGCGTTATATAGATGAATTTGCGGGGAGGATAATCACTCAAATTTGACATCGGCATTTCAGAATGATATTGTGTTATTCTACCTGCCACATGATTTAACTAGCTCTTACATGTGATTAACGGCTGTGCCAGACAGCTATCAAATTTTCCCGCTCAAATATCATAGGTAATCACTTTGGGAGTCAGGTAAGAATCCAAAGAATCCCTTCCGAACCCACTGTCTTTGACCCCGTGGAATTGCAATTGCGCCTCCCACGAAAGTGTGGCACCATTAATAGTAATGAGACTACATAGTCGCAATGATTAGCAATATCCTAAACACCAATTTTCAAGAGATGTCATACCCAGTCTGTAGCTTCTTCGCAACTCTCAATGCTCGTCTAAGATCCTTCGACCACACCGAACCCACGAGACCGTAAACGGTATCATTGGCAATCCTGATAGCCTCCTCCTCGTCATCTACAACAAACAAGGAAGCGATAGGCCCAAAGCTTTCTTGGTGATACAAATCCATCTTATCTGTCACGCCACGGAGCAGAAGATTTGGGAAGGAGTTGCCGCCACTCTCAAAGTTAAAGCTGTCATAGGCCTCCTGGTTGACAATCTTTGCGCCAGCGGCAGCAGCAGAGTCTACGAGTTCCTTTACCCGTCGTGGAGCGTCTGGGTGCAGGAGGGTTTGAGAAGTACCGAACATTGCTGAGGCAGCGAGAAACGCCTTCTCAAAGGCGTCCGCAATAGAGGAGTGGACAATTATCTTGTCGGTCGACATGCAGACTTGCCCAGCCTATAAAGAGGGTTAATGCCGCAAACTAAACTTATAAAAACGGAGCGGGCACCAACATATGCAAGCGCCCCAAAGGCAGATGATGCTGCAGCTTCTTCAATATTGACATCCTCAAACAAGATCAAAGGTGATTTTCCACCAAGCTCCATAACAACAGGCTTCAAATGCTCCCCACAAAGTGCTGCAATTCGTTTTCCTATAGCTGCAGAGCCGGTAAATGAGACTTTTCTTATGGCGCGTTGCGAGATAAGAGCTTCAGTGATCTCTGCTGCATCTTCACGGCAATGTCCAATGAGATTGATGACACCCGGCGGAAAGCCAGCGGATATAATAAGAGAGGTGAGGATGAAATGAGTTCGGGGGGAGAGTTCGGAGGATTTGATTATTACTGTGTTTCCGGCTCCAACAGCGTAAAGAATTCCGCGTACGAGGAGAACAATTGGTGCGTTCCTAAGATAAATTGAATTGTTAGACGTATTGCATTCAAGCTGTGATAAGTTATAGTTACCAAGGAATGATAGCAAGTACAACACCGAGAGGTTCCTTAACAATCATTGCAGCTCGTCCTATAGTTGTAAGCATACATGTATGTATTACACTATAACAGGTCATACATACCTGGAGCTTGAACGTCTGGAACGCTTCCTTCAATCCCCGCCAATTCACCTGCCACACGTCGTGTCAACTCTGCAGCTGTGCTCATGTTAAAGTCGACCCAAGGCCCGTTCGCCGCAGTCTCAATTTCTAAACACTCTCTGAGCTCGCTGCCCTCATTGTCAAGGATGTCTGCAACTTTATGCAGAAGCTGTTGCCGTTTAACAATGTTTGTTGCAGCCCATTTGGGAAAGGCTGCGGTAGCAGCTTTAGTAGCTTCTTCAACACATTCGAGGGTGGCGCTGGAGGCCTTCCAGAGTGTGGTTGTAGGAGAGGAGGGGTTTCTGACAGTGAAGGTCTTAGTGGTCGTATAGGGTTTGTTGTTAACAATGAAAGGAGTGATGTAAGTGGGGTCACTGAGAGTCATGTTTTACTCTAGCTGTAGGATCTTTTCTTGAGATAGATATTGATAGGAGGATTGAATTTGGAGAAGAAACCCCCGGGCGTAGAGTTCTCATTTATAGTCCTCATGCTCAGCAGAGGCAAGTCAAATGTTCTTTTTACAGCGCCACATGAAACCGAAACTGCATTACGTATCCACCCCTCAGCGGGATGAGTTTAGAAAGGGATCTGAACACACGCAGTCCTGTTATATTGTTCCGCTATGTACCGGTACGTAAGCTGCAGATCCTTAAGATGTGCTATATATTCGGAATACTAATGCTTCCTCGTGCCCAGAATTCTTCTGATTGTCTATTGATCGAGAGCGTACTGCACTCCCTATAATTGAAGTCCGGTTTCATAGCTTTGGGTAATATTTGGGTGGTTCGGATTTTTCCCGGCTCCGCTGCATCAACCCGGGTGAAACACATATAGTTCGGGTAGATGATACTATTTGGATGATAAACCTGAGTTAGAAAGTGGTAGAATACACTTTTCGATGAACTATGCATAAATTCAGATTAACGAGTATCAAAACCCGGGACAAGCCTCAGCCGGGAAATATGTACGCAGCCCTTCGCCCACTGAAGTGTATATCTTGGACTTCAATTTTGATCATCGAGGTTCTTCCTTTAAGCCCATGGCCATATATAGGACTGAGAAGGCTTGAGGAATTTGCTATTAACGTTGACATATGCTCCTCAAGCTGTATGGATTCTAGCGCTGAATTGATGTGAATGGATTCTTCCTATCTCCGTCGAGCCTCGCTCATGATCTGATCTATATAATAAGGTGCGAATATAGACTTTAGTTTAATCGACTATGGGATCCCGGGATGTATTGGTAATGTCTAGCACTGGCGGTATTGTCTCGATCGCACGGCACTTGGTCATGATTAATCGGGTCAGCATTCTTCTCGGGATAAGCACGACTATCCTGGAAGATTGGTGATAGAGATTGTGGATCAACCGATTACAGCTGCTTAAACTAGTTAACTCATGTAGTTTCTCCAATAGATTTCAGTCGAGAGCCAAACGCTGATTTTCTGATAAATTCTTTCAATCAGGTCATTCTAGTATGCATTGGAATGTGTCTTGGCAGGGCGGATAGGAAACAAAACCAGGGATGCGCGAGACTAGGGATGTGCCGCCAATTTGCTTAAGTCTTAACCAACCCCGCTCTTTTCTTTTTGTACGATTACCAGGCCGTACATGTCTGTGCCTACTCGATAAGATATTTGATAGGGTAAGTACGTGCGTGTACGTGTGTGTACCTGGCTGTGGTACGGGGCGCCGTCTGGGGTGCTCAGGAGTTATGAAACTGGATACTTTATGATCATGATCATGATCGAGCTCTTAGTTCTTAGTTCTGAGATAAGCGCTAGAATTCAATGTGCATACATACACAGTCTCCTATTAAGACGCGTTAACGTTGCATCGTGAGCGCAGACTTTAAGATACAGATGTACCAAGTATGTACATATAATACTCAAGGTGGAATACAAGTAGTGATAATTAAGTAAAGCGGTAGATAATATAATAAGTGATGGAACAGGCCGAGACACAGTAATAACTAAAATGCGCCACCAACATACGACATTTGCAGGTACAACTGTATCTCAGGGTGTCCCATCACTTATTACCCCTCGATGTACATGTTAGCAATGATTTGGCATCAGCAGCTACAAGGCCATGCTGTATCACGATCACCTGGCCGCGGGCTGGGTCATGCTATCTCACCCGCACGAAATAACCAAGTACTCATCTGTGCAATATTTCTGTTTTCTTTAGTTCATACAAAACGACTAGACACATACCTTTTTTGGCATTTCCTCTTTGTGCACTGTGATTTCTTTTCTTTATCCTACTAGGCCTACATTGTCTAGATCTACATAAGTTGCTATTCTGCTTTTTTATTTCGAGATGTTCTACTATATATATAATAAGCGGAGTGCGGCCTTCGGCCGCCCAAATGTAGTGAGGAAATGAAGGTGCGGGCGGTACTGCGATAGTAATTTCTTAGATTATTTCTGTCATTCTGGATTATTGGGTCATTCAAAGGTACAGGCACGCACTAAACCTAGTCATCACCACCTCTCCTTATATGTAATCTGTGATATTAGCTCTAGTATGCACTCTAAGTCATTCGATGAGTAGCGTTAGTATGTTATGCATGTAGTTCATGATAAAATGGTATCAAGGAAATTCGACCTTCGTGATCATATATAAAAATATAGCTGTGGTTCTATCAGTGTTTGTACTTTTATATCCATCAATTGCAATAGCTACACGCCTTTTAATGCTAGTTCCCTTCCATCTCGGAGTAGTTCTTTGTCGAATGATATGCAATCAATATTAGAAATACATGTAGTGCGCTGTAACCAATAGGAGACGTTCCTGGTGACGATGAGGAAGACTATATAGTTTAGATAGCGGAGATTGCCCAAGGAAAAGAAACTACACATAATCTCACCATTGAAACAAACTCATTCTTCTGAGTTTTACCTACTTACAGATAGGACCTCAGTGGCCGTTATATGGCATGATTGAGCAATAAGTAAGGATACGCATTCGCAATTGAACCAGGCTAGCCAATACCGCCGTGCAAACCGGAAAATCTATTTTCCGATCACGTACCTACCATGTAACTCATCAGCTCAGATACCCCGCACATATTCCTACCCATAAACTTATATCAATTTACCCTAAAATTTATTCTACAAATCAACACACAATGCCAAACCTCTTTTTCACTCCAATTCTCAACCCTCCTCTAGCATGTACGACCACTCGTGTCGCTGGAAAGCCAATCCGCTTCTATGCATGTATGGAAATTACAACAGACACTGGCAGCGTGGTCATAAACCCTGATGAACGGTTCGTATTGATGATGTGGTACACTGTGAACGGTCGCGGTGCATCGCGTTCCGCGTTGTTCAGAGAGATTACAGCTTCCGATGAAGATATTGTTAAATTGGTTAGTCAATCAATCTGTCTATCTACCACCATAAATTTCGACCTTTTGGGTGTATGGGGGATAGGACTAATCCATTTGGGATAGTTCTATGTTCAAGGGAGTGACAAAACCGCGAGTAATATCAACTTGCGAAGAGATCTCTTCGTTTTAGATCTAGATTATGATTGTGACCAGGGACCCTTGCAGTTTTGTCTGAATTACCGCTATTCAGATGGACCCTGGTAAATTACTCAACTGCTTTTTTGATCATCAAACTCTACTTAAATATTGTGGCTATATATATTCGGGGACGATGGGGAAATCTTACTCTCTCTAACGACACGTATAGGCTTCGTGCTGGCTCCCGTATAGGTTCTGCCGATGGCCGCATCATTTTCCAGAAAGAATCAGAACATATTCATCTCTCTGATCTATTCATTCCTCTTGGGAAAAAAGCCCATACATGGGATGCAAAAATAGTAGAAAACGCCGAAGAATCTCCTCAGGTTTGGAATATGACACACAAAATCAGCACAGAGGATGCTATTGGTGAGGTAGCAATAGGGAGGCCAAAATACCTTGAGCAGTTTATGGCGTTAGTTAAGATTGCACGTAAGACCTCTCACCAGAAGTATTGTGGTTTTAAAACTATGAAATGTTTACAATGGTGTCTCGCAAGCGCCATGGATTGGACCTGTCCACGGAAGAACTAGTTTTGATGCCTCAAAAGATGCTGTCCTGGTACTCTTCCAGCGGAGCTACGATGGAAAACATGTAGCGGTTCTTCCGGTTTCTGGGCTTGGATCCGGGAGTGCCTATGTTACATCTTGTACCTCTGGAGATGGCTCTATTGTCGTCCGCGGAAGGAATGATGGTGAGGGGCCTATATCTGAGAGGAAAGTCCAGGTTATTGTCGCAGTTGCAAATGACCCTTTCAAGGCGGTCACAGCCGCTACGAACTATTTAAAGAAACTCATTATGGATAGTCGGGGTTTCGAGTCTACATTGATTGACCAGTACTCGAAATTGGAGCTGGAAGGTGAGGATAGGACAGCATGGGAAGATGGCTTGAGTTATTGTACTTGGAATGGGCTAGGTGCTGATCTGGGTGAGGATAAAATTCTCAAGGCGCTGGATGAACTAGAGAGAGCAGGTGTTAGGAGTAAGTACATGTACTCATGTAGGATCACTCGATATATGGTCAACATACTAACCAGATTTAGTCGGAAACCTAATCATCGACGATAACTGGCAATCAATCCCTCCAAGATCTTACACTTCTAGTGGGACATGGACATCATTTGAGGCTAATGCAATGTTTCCTTGCGGTCTGAAAGGGCTTGTTGAAAAGATTCGGGCCAAGTGGCCATATATTAGACACATAGGGGTCTGGCATGCATTGCATGGATACTGGGATGGGATTACCCCTGGGGGCGCCATTGAAAATGCCTACAAGACAGTTCGACTAGGATGGAGAGACAACGTGAAATCAGTCGACAGAAAGTTAACATTCATTGCCCCAGAAGATGTTGGGAAATTCTACGATGACTTCTACAAGTTCCTGAGTAGTTGCGGTGTTGACGCTGTGAAAACAGATGTTCAATGTCGTATCGACGAGCTAATAGATGGAAAGGATACTGCTAGGATGGCAAGGGCCTATCAAGATGCTTTTAAGAAGAGCAGTATTAAGTATTTCGATCGAAGGGCAATTTATTGCATGTCTCATGTGCCACAAATTCTTTACCATTCCCTACTCCCAGATGATAATAAGCCTGTTTTCTTTAGATCATCTGATGGTACGTATAATTCTGTATTCGAAAGTCAGTAATCTGCTAATTTTTCTAGATTTTTACCCGAACGTTCCTTCAACTCACTCATGGCACATATTTAGCAATGCTATGAACATGATTCTTTATGGGCAGCTAAACATTCTTCCAGGTTGGTTTCAACCAAAACAAAACCACCAACGCTTACTAATTTTCTTATATAAATAGATTGGGACATGTTTCAGTCCTCTCTTCCGACATATAACACACTGCACGCTGCTGCTCGTTGTCTCTCAGGCGGCCCAATATTCCTCACTGATATACCGGGCGAACATGATGTGGACCTCATCAATTCTATGGTTTCCCCTTCCCCAGCCAACCGCGCCCCTCGTGCACTGAGACCCTCGCAAATGGCCATGGCTAGCGACCCATACGTTAGTTATCATGCGAGCAAACTACTTCAAGTAAACAATACACACAAGCATTCATCATTGCTTGGTGTATTTAATATCTCAACTATGGCACTGACTGAGCTCATAAACATGAAAACCAGCTTTCGTAACCTTGATCAACAAAAAGAGTATGTGATCCGTGCGCATACTACAGGGAGGATCACTGAACCAAGGAGGGTTCTGGACGGCGAAGACTCTTTCCTGGTTGTTTCTCTTGAACCGAGTAAATGGGAAATCTTTACTGCAATACCGGTAGAAGCTGTGGGTGTTAAAGAAAACATCGTCAAAATTGCGGCACTAGGAATCAAAGAAAATATGACCGGAATCGCTGCGTTGAGAGACATTAGGTTGTATAAGGGGGATGACGAGGATACAGTGACTATACAGGCGGATGTCTGTGCACTTGGCGTGCTGGGTATGATATGGGATCTACCTGATTCCTTTAGAGTATTATCGCTGACCCTTTAAAGTGTTCTATATCTCCGACATCGCCAAGGATCGTACCCTGGAACGAATTCGCGTCCACGTTGGTAGGAAAACCCTTCCAACAAGAGTTTACTCGCTCGTAGATTCGACACTGGAGATAGATTTGTTGAATGCTTGGAAAGATATGGGTATCAGTGAAGGGCATGACGAAAGTGAGGAGGTAGTCACAGTCTCAGTTGAATTGTCTTGAAAGTCATAGGGTGGTCTTGAGATGATACTGGGACTTTCGTTCATTTACTAGACGTATAAATTTTCATAGACTGAAGCGTACCTTGTACAATAAATATACGTATGTAAGTAGGATGCGTATACTACATGTACATGTAGTTTATATCATTCAGACAATGGTAGCTGGGGGGGTGCGTACGTCATCTTTTTTTCCCCAAAGGCTCCATCGGTGATGCGGACCGGAGGAGATATGGGGTTCGGAAGAATAACTGCACTATATTTCGAGTCGTTATCATCACAACTTATTCTTCCCGCTGAGGGCTGCAATACCAAGACCTTGGTTTGGCAACTTTACGGAATACGGATAGTAGGCCGCTTCCCATAACCAATGAAGACGAGGCTCAAGTCATCTGCGGACTTCATCTAGGATATGTTCTTGGCTGTTTCAACTAATGGGTCAATCAGGTGGGTAAAGAGTAGATCATTACTTTACTAGAGACTGCTAACATTAACATCACCAATAAACACTAGACTGGAACTACCTGTAGCAGTCAAGGCGCGCCTACTATTGAATTATCAGTTGTACAGGCTTTTCAATCATAGAATCATTGGGGCTCGATTATCTGATGCTCAGCTTAATCGAGAGCCTTACGAAAAGACGGTATTATTGTCGGCTTCTGGACGTGGGGAATCTGAAGTGAAACCGGATTGCGGAATGATTTACCGAACCTACCGAGATCGGCGTACCCCAGATCACTTTGTTTATCCTAGGAAAGCAATTTATATATCACTTAATAACTCCGTTGCCCAATTATTAGGAAACCATGGTCCCCTCGCATGCTGACAACTATTTAGCCGTGCCCCTGCTTTTGGCCTTTGGCCCTGACTAATCTAGGTAATGATCAACTACTTTTTCATGGTTCCTTGAACTTTCCGGGCCGGTAGCCAGTACTGCACGCGCTCACTCCGTACGCTTTGAACATTGAAAGCTCCCGAGCTCACTTACTTCGGAGACGCCAAGGGTCGATCAATCCTTTTCTAGAGCATTCCTTATTGAATCCAAAGAAGTCTTCGAATGAGATGCCTGGTTTGGTGTATAATCTTGTTGATCATAAAGATTGAAGACATGGGCATATCGGGCTTCAGACTCCGCAATCTATCAACTTAATTTATTTTCTGTTTACCTTAAGCTTCCTTTAATCAACCTGTCAAAATATCAAATTGTCAAAGCAGATATGTGTATATAAACACTCAGTTCCACCGCTCTTTTAAATACCATCCTCATCATCCTCACACTTGAATCCATTCACTTCATTCCTTTTCGAAGCCAGCCTTCTATTTTACCAGTCTTTTCACTCACAAAAATTTTCCATACAAAATTCAAAATGAAGTCTGCAATTCCAATCCTCGCACTTGCCTCCTTCTTTGCCACACAGGCTACTGCCCACACAACTCTCCAGTACTTCTGGACTGACTCCTCGACCTCCACAACCGAGTGTGTGCGTGCTCCTCCCAACAACAACCCAGTCCAGGATGTCACATCCGCCGATATGGCCTGCAACGTGAACGGAAATGTTCCAGCAGCGTCTGTCTGCGAGGTTACAGCCGGCAGCACAGTGATTCACGAGTGGCACCACACAAACCGTGAGCAAGGTGCTACTGACGCCGATGATCCGATTGCCTCCAGGTAAGCATATATACCTAAAGATATTTACAGAATCATTACTTACTCCTTTTCCAAAATATAGCCACAAGGACCAATCATTACCTACATGGCCAAGGTTGATGATTCCAGCACCGTCACCGACGTGACCTCGCTCGACTGGTTCAAGATCGCCGAAGACGGCCTCTCCGGTGGTGTCTGGGCTGTCGACACCTTCTACGCAGACAAGACTGGAAAATGGTCTGTCAAGATCCCAACAAACATCCCAGATGGTGACTACCTCCTCCGTGGAGAGATCATCGCTCTGCACTCGGCAAGCTCGTACCCTGGTGCTCAGCTCTACATGGGATGCGTGCAACTCCGCGTTACCGGTGGAAGCGGTGGAACTCCAAGTCCCACTGCCAAGTTCCCGGGTGCCTATGCATCAACTGATCCTGGTATCACTTGCAACATCTACTCTGGACTCACTACTTATGAGATTCCCGGACGTAAGTTTCATCCTTGACTGATCATGAACGATGGATTTGAGCTAATACGTGTTTTTAGCGGCCGTTATGTCGAGCTCAAGCTCCAAGAAGTCGAAGAAATGGATTGCCTAAATTATTTAAAAATGAAACTAAAGGGGTAGTATTATAGTGGTGAGGTGTTATAGTGTGGCACGTTGGAATTAGATAGACCTTGCTGAGCAAGGGATGTATGTATATATTCAGATAGATTATATTAGGATTTCAATGCACATATTATCTTTCTGGAATACTGAGTACCAGAGCGAGAAGAGAGACATACCATATTCGGCGGTCCACGCGTGCTAGATGAGGGAATTAAAACCAACCAATCAATGGAATACAATTAATGAAGTAATCAATCAATTAGATGGCCATAGAATAAGTATATCGAGTGATATATGATGATTGTCAACACAAACTTCCCCGTTATTTTTTTGTTTTTTGTTTAATTCATTAATTGCATAACTTCCCCGTTATTAAAAGTCACCAGTGAAATATAAACTGAATTTGAAAACTCAACCACACATATAAATAAAGTAGTATGTTTATTTGTGGATTCCCAATGTCAGTTGCTCGGGTCTGTGTGGGTGGAGATTGAAACAAGCTAGGGGTTGGTCTCAGACTGACTCCTGAGTGTAACACCACTAATATGGCTTCGGTCTCGACTCAAAAACCCTAAGCCTAGATAAATCAATTTAGACGAGATTCTGGATGGAGCTAAGCTGGTTTCTATATTGGGGTATACATCGTGGATTATCGAGGGGTGATCGAAATCATCGATAGCGGCGCTACCTTGCTATATTTTATCGTCAACCTCACATTAACCTCATCCTTCACAAATAGTAGTTCGATATTACTCACGCTATATATATTGACATCTTTCCTTGCGCTTCTCAGGTGTGGAATTGCGAAGAATGCAATCGCCCGTGAAGCCATGACATGAAGCTCGCAGACTCGGCTCACAATCCCACCTGCGCTCTCCGTCTCCTTTGCCCTAAAAGTAAATATCCTCCAGTCAAAGAATAAGGAAATAGTCCCCGAAGGTATACGTCACCGGTTTAAGTCGAATATATTTTTACCTCCGTGAGGTACGCTGGTATAATTCATGCATGAGAAATCACTCGCGATCAAGAATTCATGATCGCTAGTGCCAGACCACCGGCACATTATCACCTTTAGAATTGTGCGACGGAAATTTTAATCTAGATGTCCCTTTTTCAAGTGATAACGGTTAGTAGTGTTAGCTGGAAGTGTTATCTTTGGGGGGGGGGGGGGGGTGGATTTGAGGAGTTGTGTGCCTGAATATGAATGCATATTTGTGTGGCTTTAATTTGCGTGTACGTGTATTTATGTATTGATGCAGAGGTAAAATTGTATATGCTGCACTAGGCCATATTTGCTATCAACCTTTCCGTTGTACACCTCATGATCACCTCTGGCTCACCTACAAAATTTAAGAGGAAACACTTCATTCGGTTCACTTCATCCCATCGCATCGGAAAAATAATTCGACAGTTATATAATAATGAATTAAGTATATCAAATACAAAAATATAGACTCTCAAGAGAGGCATAAGAAATAAAAATCTACAACAAGCTTACAGCCTTTTCACCCCCATAATATCACACCTTTCCAAAAACCATCTTTGAGTCCTATGGATGCCACCGACTCACTATCTCAAACAACCGCTTAACAGCTGGCAGGGGAAGGAACGTTCTTGCAGCTGGAAGAGGTCTTTCCACCAGTGATGGAGACACCAGACCAAGACCAGTCGCTGCAAGCACCTGATCCACAGAGAATGTAGATATCGGTACCAGAGGAGCTGACGGTACCCTTAACGTTGCTGATGGTAAGATCAGTGATGGGGACACCAGTGGTAGGGCTATCAAAGAAAAGTTAGTATCTCATTGTCAAAACTGTTAATTTGGAATAAGAATGTTACTTACGTTCCAGTGGGAGAGCCGTTCTCGTAATCCTGCTCAATGACAATACCGTACTTGGTGATGGCCTTCAAGGTGATTCCGGAGTAGGTAACGCCCTTGACCGTACCAGTGGCACCGTAGACGGTTTTGATGCGGACACCGTTCTGGGAGTCGACGATGGTGCTGTCACTGATGGTGACAGTGTCAACGGTGTTGTCACTGCGTCCACCAACGGATCCGATGGAGATACCGTGACCACCTGAGCAGTATCCGTTCTTGAAGACGATGTTGGTCCCGGAGTTGACAGCCAAGCAGTCATCCTGGTTGTAGACGGTGGCACCGTCAATGGTGATGGTGTCAGAAGAGCCGACATCAAAAGCATCAGTGTTGTGGCCGAGCTCATCAGTGTCACCGTCCTTGTTGTTGATGGTGATGGTCTTAAGGCTCAAGTTCGAAGAACTGTTGATTGAGAAGCCCTGGACCGGGGTGTTCTTAAGAGTGACGCCGGTGATGGTGGAATCATCAAGGTTGTGGGCGTAGAAGAACTTTGGCTTGGTCTTTCCGCCGTTGCTGCCCTCTCCGTCCCACCATCTGGAACCATCACCGTCAAACATGGATCCGGAAGCACCAACAACGGTGATCTTGGAACCAGAGACGGAGACCAAAGGACCTGACCACTCCTTGTATCCGAAGGTGATAGTGCCCTTGAAGGTCAACTTGGTACCGTCAAGGAGATCAGTAAGATCAAGGGTGTCTCCGGCAGGAACAACGACGCTGTCGATAACAAGAGTGGTGCAAGCCTTCTTGGCGGCAGCAACATTGGTGTAGGAGGTGACTGTGCAAGAAACCGAACGGGATTCGATATCAGCAGCCGGTGCTGCGGAAGCAAGGCCAAAGAAGGCGGTGAGAGCCACCAGGGCAGATTCGGTGATGTACTTCATGGTGGTAAGTTGATTGAGGGACTAAAGAGCCTGTCTGTAGTGTTGTAGTTGGAAAGAACGAAAGGAAGAGAGTGAAGACTGAACTGTGCAGGTGTAAAGAATGAATGATGAGCGAGGACTGGAGTTTGAAAGATACGACGGATACATGAAGGTTATATAGGAATTTGAGGTGTATAGAACCACCTCAGTGATTCCTTGTTAGGAGTTCAAATGTGGGGAACGGAGAATTCCTACAATATTGACCATAGGCAAATGAGTACGGACTCTATGCGGGTACGTAATATCTCGCAAGAATTTTTACCTTTTTCAAAATAGTAATCTTCAAAATAACCATAAGGACTCAGTGTGGTCTAACAATTGTTTGAAACTATGTATGTCTAGTTACAAATACCTCTACTCTAAAGTGCGTGCAACGTTCAAGATAGTTGATACTTGGATTAACTAGGTAAAGAACACCCGTGAATTTCCCAATTCGATTATTGATATCGGTGTTTTTACCGCCAGTTACAGATTGAGGTGTGGTTACAAGGGTCGGCAATCCGGAAGCGAATGCATCGGTACACATGTCAAAGCTTAGCTATTCCCCATCAATCTCACAACCCTGCACTGAAACGGGAATTCTAGATGGCCTACGTACATGTCTGAGAAGCTTTAACCTTTCGGAGTTTTGTACAATTAAAAAGCGAATGGAGTACAAGCTGTCGGGTATCGGGTACGTATAGTATGCCCTAGAAATGCTTGATTCGACTTCTTATATTACCGTCTCATATTGATCTCAACACTTCTAGAAATTAATTACCCCAGACAAGCTTTAGGTACTATACTATATACGATCAAGCATCTGAGCATACATCTCCTCGCCGATATATCCGGGTCAGCACAACGGCAGCATATAGTGATTGTGCGCTGTTCTTGATTCCAGCCATTCCAACTTGTAGCACCAAATCACATTCTAGGCCGATACCAACATAGTATTACAAGCCGCCTATTCCTTCAGGTTGATCCATTAGTATCGGACAAAAAACACCGAACGCGGCTTGCACGGGGAGACTTGCGAATCTCGTTGTTCTCCCGCCTTACGTTTATTAGCATGTCGGCTTGGCGATAGCCCGATGTCGATAGATTTGTATTCTATCCTACCGAAGGACGGCCAGCTGGAATAAGTCTGGAAGCGCTTTATTCCACCCACGGTACATCCTAGAACCATCCTATCGCATTAATAATCTTTAGAATAGTACGCGTACTGTGTCTGGCGGAGAAAAATCTCCGCCGGATTTATTACAGGATTTCAATTCCATGGACGTGCATTCGCCAAGAAAAGATCAAAAAACAAGACTTTTCAGTACTATGTAGGACAAACAGCTTGGCATGCGAGCAGGTAGATCACGATCAAGATACCTATTTGCGGCCCCGCCGGGAGGAAAAAAAGCGTCCAAAATACAAGCTCACGGGATTTCCGCTGTATCATCCAGTCTCGGGAGACTACAACCCGAGCGGAGCCAACCGCGATGACTTGTGTGCTGGAATGAAAACAATCTCATTACCTCACTTCAATATCCGCCGAGTTGACAAAGAAAAATCAATTTCACTTGAGGAGGCAAAAACGGGGTTGGAGAGCGACTGAGCGCCGAGCGGTGAGAAATGATATTCAATATCCCTTTCTCACTACACGTCAATCATGTCTACTCCTTTGAAGGGTGATAATAATATCACTCCATCAATACGTACTCCTTTCTGGGTGTTGGCGGGGCTAAGCACTGTTCCCGGAAATCGCGCAATTTGTGCATATTGGACAAGGATGTGATAGTAACCACAGAACCTGGATCATGATGAATCACTCGATTTAGAATAGTTATGGACATACTCGCGCGGCCGGTTTGAAGCCGCTCAAAGAACTGTGGCGAATGATCTGGCAACGACTAAGAGCTCACGTTTTTGCAGTATTCAGATCAATTACCTTCTTTGTCTGAACAGCTTCAATCCGGCCGCTAGAGTACATATATGCACATACACATAGGCATATACCTACATACATGCCTACTAAATATCATCTGAGTACGCTCTCCGCTCAATAGAACTGGACCCAAAGAGCTGATGCCAGTAGTTGGCTCGAAATGATTAGGAGAATTAAGGTTAGGGTCTCGGCTCATATTTAGCTCGTTTTTAAGACTTGATACGAATACGATATTCACAATAGACTGACCGTGGAAGATTCCGTTTACATTGACAAGAACGAACATATACCAAGGACCAACGGAAACATCCGCGAACGTCCGGTTTCATATCCCCTGTCATCATTAAATCTGGTGCCGACAGCCATAGCACCTGCTGCCCTGTGCTTAATGACCTAATCCGACAGAGCGAAGCTTTGTCAAGGCCGCACGCAATTAACAGACAGCTCTCGTTCTGGCAGGTCAAAACGCGTTCTCTCCCCACGTGATGTTTGAAGCATCAAGTGTCACTCGCCTTATAGAAGTTATTCCTCCAAACTCTATATACCCTGCTAAATTCTACGTTAACACTTGTGTTTGTCAACGATGCTATCAAGGTCTCTGAAAATAGTATTTCTGTGGTAAATGGACATTTACGGTCCCGTGATACAGAGTGAGATCGGTTTTCAGCGAATCATAGGCTAGAGGACTTGCTCGATACCATTGTATTCTTGCCTTCGAGTGACGATAAGGTGAATATTAGGTCACACCTCTTGAGCTGAGCCAGTCATTTAGTCAGACTGTATACGAAGGATTTGGGATATGCCCAATGGTAAACTTTGACAAAATGGTGTTACCGTTGAAGATTTGTTTAAAAAGAACTGGAACGTGGAGGATGAGCTGTCTATCTTTTACCCATATCTCGCAGTTCGATAAACACCCAAATCCTCGAGAAACCACTGTAGAACGGACTATTTTCAACTCCAAAATACAGGAACGAATTTTCAGGTTGATCGTTGCAGATACTACTACCACGGACAGAGATAATAACACAAATACCACTAGTATAAACTGAGAAATGTGCGCCTATAATCCTAATGCGCAATATAACTACTGGGCCAACGGGCAGCGTTGGGCTCAACATACCGCAGAAAATGGGGTGCCGTACTGGTAAACGAAATAACCTTGAAATCTAGCTATTGATGTCCCTCTTATATTATTAACTATAATTACTAACACCGTTCCCTTCCTCAGGCAGAACCTGGATACCGGCGAATCCGTTTGGCAGATGCCTGACGAGCTCAGACAGGCTATGGGTCAAGTACCTATGCAGAACGCGGGCGGCGGGTTCTATGAGATGCCAGGGATATATAATAATCAGTGAGCTACTACTCATTTACCTTTCCATGAATCAAAATGCCCACTACTACTATTACTATCCTAGTAAGTACCATATGTTAACAAGCTAACTACAAACGATTCCTATACAGAAACGACGGCGACGATGCTATGCTCGAATACACTCTCCGTCTTTCCCTCGTCGAACTCCAGCACTCCACTGCCGCCGCCGCCGCCATTCCCACGCCCACGCCTACGCCCACACCGGTTGCGCCCGTGCGTACAACTACGCCCAGGCCCAGGCCGGGCCCCTCCCAAGTGCGTGAAGGCCGCGAAAAGAACATCTTTGAAAAGCTAGATGTCCCTCCCCGCAACCCTGTCCGCGCTCATATGGCTGATCCTGGTCCTGCTCGTGGGACCTGCGCCATGTGTTCCTCCGATACCGGGGTCCAGAGTGCTCCCTGCGGGTGTACATATTGCTCCGGGTGCATTATTAGGATGTTCATGTATACGACGAGAAGGGATCCCTATCAACCACTACAGTGCTGTCGGATCGAGTTCCCAATGGAGCTTACCGACACCGCCTTTGCATATCTCGAAGCCGCACGTAACGCCGCGGGCGCCGCTACATCTGCGGCGGCCCCGACCCAGGCCCAGAGCAACAACACCACCGCCGGCCTGAGCAAAGGCAAGGGCAAAAACCGGGAGCGGGAGCGGGAGAGCGCGGTGCGGCGGACCTTCGACTGCGTAGCCTGCATGGACTCTTTCGTTCTCGACGACGTAATGGTCGCGCCCGACTGCAACCACAACTACTGCCGCCCCTGTATGAACCGCCTGTTTGTCGAGTCGACCAAGAGCGAGGACCTGTACCCTCCCAGCTGCTGCAAGCAGGCCATCCCCATCACCTGGGCCAACCTCGTCCTCAACACCGAGGAGCAGAACCAGTTCTACGCAAAGAGCGAGGAGTGGAAGACCCCCAACAGACTCTACTGCTCCCGCAGGCCCTGCTCAGCGTTTATCCCGCCGCTGCGGGTCAACGCGGATTACGGCACGTGCGCAAAGTGTCTGGCCCGCACTTGCGCGCATTGCAAGGGCGCGTTCCATAGGGGCGAGGCGTGCCCGAAGGATAAGGCGACGCAGGACGTGCTGAATCTTGCGCAGACGGCGGGGTGGAGGAAGTGCTTTAGCTGTAATATGATGGTTGAGCTCGGCTCGGGCTGTAACCACATTACGTGCAGGTAAAGTTCTCTCCTTTTTTTTACAGAATTCTTTCTATATGTCTGAAATAACCTATAGAAAAAATCCAACCTAACCCTCAAACACCCTCCCATAGATGCGGCGCCGAGTTCTGCTACACCTGCGGCGTCAAGTGGAAAGAATGCGGCTGCCAGATGTGGGTAGCGGAGAACCTCCGCCGAGCAGTGGCCGAGGGAGCGATAGCGATGCCTCCTGGAGCAATACGCCTTGGAGCCGTGCCCGCCGGGGCAATACACATCCCCATCGGAGCCCTACCCGCCGGAGCGATACCCCTCGGAGCCTTTCCCATGGGAATGATGCCCGCTGGAGCAGTCCCCTTGGGAGCAATTCGCGCTAGACCCATTAGAATCGTGCCCGCTCAGGGAGGAGGAGGAGGAGGAGGTGGAGGTGGAGGTGGAGGAGTGGGAGGAGCACCAGCCGGCATGGAGGCGCCTCGAATCTTTGTCAACCACGGTGGGCATATCCGGGAGATTCCGGGGGTGAGGGTTGAGGTGCAGGGGAATATGCCGATGTTCAACACGCCGGATGGACGCAGAATGGTGTGGGATGCTATGCATGGGACGTGGCGTGAGATCTAGTGGGGGATTCGGTGAGGATGCTGAGGGGTGGGAGGTAATAGTGGAGACTCGGAGGGGAGGGGTTGTGGTAGTGGTGGGTACATACACATATGGGTGAATTTTTATTTATTCTTTCTATTGGGTTGCTAGTTGGACTGGCCTGAGTTATGGTGGGTGTGTGATTGATAGTGGCATTGGCGTTTTTCTTCTTTGGTGGTTTTATGGGCATTTCTCCAGCGGGTCATCATGTTTAACATTTCCTTAAATTGTTCTGCTAGGCAAAGGGCATTATTTGGTTCAAAGGCACTATCTTATTAGCATTTTTAGATTCACTTTTATGTGATAACGGCATAGGTATTTTAAGAAACACGAAATAAAACAGCGTTTGTCCAGATCTCTTCACGTGAATTAACTTAACTTCAATGCCCCTACCAGGATATATGCCGCAATTGAGCAAACCCTGTCGTCCTCACTCGCCTAGGCTCCACTCCCGTCATGTTTCGTAGCTCCATAGAAAAGGGGATCCTTCATGTGCTTTAGCGGCGCCAATGTGCTTCAGTGATTGTCAGCCATTGCCGTAAAAGAGTTGTATCCACATTTCCTGGCTATATAAAAAGCACCGGCCATCGATCTGCTCCCAAGTCGACCGATTTCGACTTTGCTCACTAGCTAACTACCACATTTCCCGCCAAGCGATCATTGACCCCTCGTCATAGACGAAGCACTCCACCCGAACTTACTCGGGTAAAACGCCAAGATGGAGTAATCCCATAACTTTAAAGTCTACACTCCATCCAAGCTCATAGATACATCTACCGTGGGGGGTTGTTGCTACACATGATTTCCAAAGCCAGTTTACTCGGTGTCCAATTATTAGACATTCCCAAAACGGTAAACTTTCCACTGGCCAAGCCCTTGGCGTCCAACGTCAACCTTAAGGCCGATAACGACGGCCGATAGAGTGCCGTACGAAGGGGGGTGGGTAGTAGTGGGTGTGTAGGAGGTATACGGGCGCAATTTTCAGCCTTATTGAAACCCTAATCCGGCGTTAATTTACTTTATTTTCACGTTCGTTGTAAGTCCGCCAAGAGTGAGAGTACTAGGAAGGTGCGTCAATGATTGAGCTTGATGGTTTTATTTTGCTCCGCCTTGTGTTTTGTGCTCCAGTGCCAAGACTTGGAATGACTGGCGGGTGCAGGTAGAGTACCATCTAGGTACCTAGGAATTCGTAAGCTGGGTGTGCGAGAAGGGTACTGGCTGACTCGACTCCGGGCTCGAGTCGTACGAGAGCTATGTTATCTACGTCTCTGTTCTCTTGGCTAAATCGATCAATGCTGTAGCTAGTTAGTACTGAGTATCATATCATGAAATACCTGTTGGTTAGAATTAGCATCGTATTATGTCCCTCATCCTCATAAGGATAGGAGCCTATATATATACTCTACCCCAAAGATTACTGTATTCCCTCCGCTTCAGTGTCAACTTTTCTACCTCTCACCTATCTACCTAACTCCGCACCATGGCCGTCACCGCCTCTGAAGCCCATTTTGCTAAAACCCTCACCTGGTGTATCCGCCTTTTGCAGCTGGCCTTTAGCATAGTTCTTCTCGGCTCGCTCTCATACATCATCAATGAGCACCGCGAATTTGTACGCCCGGGACCTTATTCACGTTTCATCCCTTACGAAGTGATTGTTCCTGAAGTCTTCGTCAGTAGTCCATCATCAACAATGCCTTGCCTTAATTCTTGTTAACAATGTGTAGTCTATCTTTTCAATCCCCATCACACTCTTCGGCGTTTTCGCAGTCTTCTTCTTTTCCTTTTCCATCCAGATTGTGGCGGCGTGTCTCGACCTTGTCCTCTTTATTGGCTGGATTGCTTGCATTGGCCTATTGCGTAACAACTTCCATACTGATGGGAGACCGAACCAGTTGGCGAGGTATCTTAACGGTCTTAGACGTAGCCATGGGGCTAGAGGACACCAAGCCCTGAACGGGCACCTGGTCAGACTTATAGTGGCACTGGTCATAATACAAATGTAAGTTGTTGTATTGGTGTTTGTGGTGAAGGCTGCTAATTATGGCGTTAGTATCCTCTTTTTCGTGACAGGCATGCTTGCAATGCTGGTCGCAGTCAACGACAGGAGGAAGAAGGCGGCGGCAAAGGTAGCCCCGGCACCGGTCATGGTGCTGGATGACGGGAGGATGCATGGTGTAGCCGAAGATGAGAAAGTTAGGGAGTTCTGGAAGGGGAGAGATAGCAGTGAAACGGCGGTAGCCTAAGGGTTGGCGAGACATGTCGGTGTCGAGGGTTTCAATGATGAGTAGGTGTCGGGTTTATGATGAGATATATCTAGTGCAGATTCTATCCTCTTAATTTCCTTTGTCTTCGCGCATTCCATTAGTTAGTACATGCAGCCCACGACCTTCAATGAAGACAATTTTTTAGCGTTGCATTCTTGTTGTAGTACACACCGTGAGCTCGAGTACACACCGAACGAGGGATTCAAACTAGTGTGAGCTGGCTTCAAGATAAGGAATGATAAAACAACTTACCTTCAGTAAGGCTTCTTTAGTGTGTAACGCCCAAAATAAGCACGGGCCCAATGGTCACCTTGTTCTAAGCACGAAGCTAGAAGGGAGACGGGGTGTGCGTAGGCTACGCCCTCTGGAAGCATGGAAGTAGACGGGTTGGGGACGAGCCTACTCCTACAGTGATGTAGCATCTGTAGAAATTCTTCATCTCGCCAAAGCCAACGACTTGATCCTAACCACAACCCAGCAACAGATGTGGCATCAATCTTCCCATCTTCTTCCTGGCATCGCTCTTTATACCGGGGGGGATGCTGAGGGTATATAAACTGAAGTGATAAAATAGTGGGGAGATGGATGATGGAGAAATGAGTGGGAGGATAGAAATATTCTTTAGTCGTGGCTTTTAACTTTGTCTGGTCTTTCTATATATGTGAACTGATAACGTTTCTTTACTTGGATAGCTAGTGTATACTTACACTACATTAATTTAAATATACGTTGCCCCTTGAAGGTACCTTAGTAAATGATTGTTAAGAAAATTAACGAAGCTATCTTTCAGTGTTTCTAATCGGAGCTAATACCTAAAACAAGTTTTACCCTCGGTGTATACGTGCACTGCACCTCTCCCGGTACGGTGGTTATTTGCTTCATGAAGGATCACTCGATAATTGATACTTTATTTGGATTCTTCGTGTCTAGAACATATAATCCTAGTTATGGCTGTCCATATTATAATAGCTCTGGCTTAAGTCTTTGCCTACGTTGTTTCAGGGCCCATGAGCCGAGTCAGTCGATTAAACCCTTCTATAGTTATATCCTAGTAGAAGCGGCGTACCATATATAGACTTCATCTAAGTTTTTTACTACATTTGCTGTATTAATTGAGCTACATTATCAGCCTATCTATAGAATCAATATTCTACACCAAAGGTCCCATGGAGCCGTGTTTATGGACGGTTCATTGTCCACAGTACTGACATTGATTCAACTTGAGTGCCGTACGCGTACACAATCCAACGATACACCATATCATAACACCATCTTATTTGCATGCTCCTACTTCGATCCTGTCTACGGCTGTTACTGTTCCAAATCTAAAGCTGCTTGGGTCTTGGATGAAAGGATTCAGATGAACCACTGCAGGTCTTGTGCCTTGCATGTGGGATAGCTGAGGGGGCGGGGGGAGGTAAGGGTCCGTGTTTACAACTTTAAGAATAAAGTTTTAGGTTATGCAGTTAGATCAGTGAGAAAGGGAGCAGATGTGCACTCTTTGCATTACAGCGCCCATGTATGTAAGAATAGACTTTGGGACTGCCGATAAGTGTTAGTGAATAGTTAGGAACACTGTATTCATAGCTAGATATAGAGAGGACACTCATGCACTGTACACGTAGAACAGATATACCAGACTAGCTGGTATATCTTCACGGTTAGAGGGCTCTTCCTCAACGACTTTCTCGCAGTATCGGAAAACCCCCCGAATTGTCCACAATATGCCCAAGATGATGCTCGTAAACAAACTCTTTCCTTCGATTGAATCACTCATGATCAAAAGGGCACATATTTCTATATTTGAATAATGGCTTCTTTCAATATAGCTGTCAGCTAAAGATTCAACGCCATTATCACTTAGAATTATCGGTTAGTTCTATATCCTATATCGCGTGCAAACTTTGCACTCGTGTTGTAGTAATTTTACCCCCCTTTTTATGCTGCATGCTGACCTCCTGAGACAAGCGTGATACTCTCTCAGTTCAAGAAATATAGGGCTCCGTTTCAACATAATTATAAGCCCGAACAAATATAAGAAACCAACAGATGGAAAACAAACCCCTGAATTAATAGAATGTTAGTTAGAAGCGCTAGCACTTTTCACTCTGGCTGGTCTTTGATCTGCACTTTCACGTGCGCCACTTCCCAATCGAGACGCCAGAAAGATAACAAGCAGCAGCTATCCATTCACCGCCAATCACTCGTTGGAATCTGTACGAGCCGCGCTGAGCTCGAGTTTCATAACAGAGCCAAAACACACACGCATGTTTTGGGATCGCGATGATAATGGCTACAAACATCACTCCCCTTATTAATGCAAATACAATGCCACAACATCTCTCCCTCTCTCCCTCTCTCTAGCCTATGTAGAACCCAGAGTTTCACCTCACCTATCAGTCAACTTTCAACCGTGCGCGTCAAGCCTCCGAGACCTGCGTTCTGTGTGAAGAGTTCACCGCCTAAAACACGACAAGCCCATGCCTTGCGCTGTCTCTGATGATTTGATCCCGCGCGCCCAACTGCTCTAAGCCCCAAGCGGTAACATAAGCGAATAACCGCGCTTGTGTCGCTGCGCGTGCTGTCCCAAATATTAACTCCGTGCTCCGCCTCGTTCCCCTCTCAAGCCTAGCTCCATGTTCTGAAGCTCCACTTCCAGGGCCAAAACAAAAGAGAGAGAGAGAGAGAGAGAGAGAGAGAGAGAGAGCTCTCGAATCCCCACCGGATCATATTAAACCCATTTCTTAATGTCGCTCCCACACACTCGTTCACGGTCGCCGTCGCCGTCACCGGCCGCCTCAACCATCCTGCCAGCCGACGATACCATTTCGACACCGCTTTCGCCGGCCGCTGCGAGGAGATCAACTGATACCGCCCCACTGCTGTATCAGAAGGTGATTCGGTGGATCAAAGGTCCTGTTCCGCCGCGGGATACAACGCTCAAGCCGTGGTTCCCAGAGTACCAGGAGATTCCGGTGAAGCTTTTGCGGCGCGGGCCGTTCAAGCAGAGGAGTTGGAGGGCGGCGCTGTTGGGCCTGTTTTGGTTTGTTTGGTTGACGACGTTTGTTTCTGTTGTGCACAATTCGAGGTTCCGCAGCAGGGTTGATGGGGTGATGCCGTATATGGCGAGTTGCGCGGATACGATGTGGTATTTATTATTCTTTCCCCTCCATATGATGTTATATATAAATATGATATATTGTACTCTGAATATATGGTTAATCTTTAATTGATTCATAGGGCAAAGAATAATGGATGCGGCCTCGACGGTGCTTCCTGTGGCCCCTTCCAGAACTACACACAGTCATTCCGCTGCCCGGCCCAGTGCGCCAGGACACATGTACTCAACCCGCGGGTCGTCGGCGACCAGAGAATCGTCTACGACACGTTTGTGATTGGCGGGCCCGTCAACAACGTGAGTATCTCTGATCAGGGAGCAGAAGAGGATGCAATCGATTCCGTATATCGTGCCGACTCCTTCCTCTGCTCCGCGGCAATCCACGCAGGAATCATCTCAGACAAGTACGGCGGCTGCGGTGTCTACTCCATGGTGGGGGAAAACCACTATTTCCCCAGTGTCCGCAAGCACGGCATCTCCTCGATCGGCTTCGACTCGGGCTTTCCGTCCTCGTTCACGTTTCTCAAGGGCGTGTCTACTTCGCACTGCACTGACCTGCGCTGGCATCTCCTTGCCGTATCGTTGGTGTTCACCGTGCTCCTCTCCTTGACGACTACTACACCCGTGATATTATTCCCCTCCGTGTTCTGCGCCATCTTCTTCCACGTCTCTCTCGCCTCCGACCCCGCAGCCTACTCAAACCCGTACGAGCTGGTCTCACTCGCACTATCCCGCTTCCTCCCCGCCTGCTTCGTCGCCTACGTCCTCTTCAAGCACGTCATCTCCTACACACTCACGCTCCCCGCCTCCGCCAACATCGAAAAGACCATCCTCTGGCTCGGCCCTCTCTGGGTCGGCGCCCTCAACAACATCACCATCGACCCCCTCATCCCCATCACCCGCCTCACCTCACGCGACATCCAGCAGCAGCCCGGCGCCATCTCAGCCCTCGTCATCGTCTGCTCCATCATCACCCTCATCGTACTCTACCACGCCCACGCCCTCCGCCTCGAGGGCCGCCTCCCCCACTACCTCGCCCTCTACGCCGCTGTCGGCATCGTGCTCGGCTTCCTCGCCGCCATTCCCGGCTCATCGCTGCGCATCCACCACTACATCATCGGCATCACCCTCCTCCCCGGCACAAAGATGCGCACGCGCGTGTCGCTCATCTGCTCCGGCCTGCTGCTCGGCCTCTTCATCAACGGCGTGGCGCGCTGGGGGTTCGCGGGGATCATTGAGACGCCCGAGTCGCTGCGCGGCGACGGGCTCTACTTCTCGACGCTGCCGGTCCTGGTGGCGCCGCAGGTGGGAGCGTCGAATGCGACGTTTGCGTGGGAGGCGGGGAGAGTGCGTGGGTGGGAGGAGGGCGTGAGTGTGCTGATTAACGACGTGGAGAGGTTTAGGGTGCCGGGACTGACGGGGGAGGCGACGTGGGAGAGGAGTAGGTATGGGGCGGGGGAGGAGTGGGAGAAGCTGTATGTGAGGGTGGGGTATTATGGCGGTGGGGAGGCGGGCGATTATACGTTGGCGGGCGTGCTGGAGGGGAATGGGACGTGGGTGCAGCCCGAGGTGGGCAGGACTTGATGGTCTTGTGCGGTGGCGTTGGATGGTGTAGATGTAGATGTGGCTATGGATGTAGCTAGACCTTTTATGACTTTCTGGACTTTCTTTTTGGTGTAAGTACATATAGTGGCTACAGGTAGATGAGACTACGGGAAGAAGAAAAGAAAAACGAATTGCTTTATGACCTTGGCCTCTTATTCCTAGCTTTGTTCCGTCCAATATAGTCCATTAGCCGGCTTAGATATCGAGCTGGTTCAGCACTCGAGTGCAGCATGTAGTCAATCAGTCAGTCCTCTTT